ATCAACTCTACCCTGAACGACGAGACGCTCGATGGAGGCTTCACCACGGCGAGACACGTGCCCGAAGAAAGCAAGGGTGCAAGCTTGCATAACAGAGGACAGCCGCTGCTTGATGCCGAGTTCTTGGAGAATTGAAATGTCGGTTCGAAATTCGCTCCATGATATTCTAAGCATTCTTCTCCAGCACCAGATTTCAAGAGCATCTACCCCCAGGCTCTCACTTTCGCGTAATGTCCAGGCTTCTGGGGCATACAAAAATATGAGGAACACAAGTGTTCTCACAAGCCGGATCTTCGTAACTTTCGTTAAGTTATGGTCCTTCGATATCTTTTTTAGTCTCTTCATGACAGATCTAGTTATAGCCATACGACGTTTGTTAACATGTGCGTAATACTGAACATCAAAATAGACAAGAAACAAATAAATTAACGCATTTAAATAGTTGAAGGTTTGTTTTTATTAAGTTGGCAGTGTATTGATCTGATTTACTAGTGAGCTCTATTAAGGATTTTTCTACGAAATTTAGGGGGTAAATAGTGGGATGTGAGTTTATTAATTTTGGTGATATTATTGGAGTAATTTATGGTTTTTTAACATTGAAAAAATTTTCGCTGAAAGTGCGACTCGTCCGTGATACCCCGAGGTTTTGGGCCACGAAGACGTATGGGGGCTCAAAAGACGCGGCATCCGAAGGGCTTTAAGATGATCAAAAATATTTTGGATACGATGGTTTCGAAAAAATTATTTTTGGTATGAATAAAAAAACATTTATTTTAATCGCACTAATATTATAAAGGCGAAAGTTTGTGAGTGTGTATGTTTGTTACTTCTTCACGTCTAAACGGCTGGAGCGATTTTAATAAAATTTGCTATGGAGTTAGCTGACACCCTAGATTCACACATAGGCTACTTTTATTCCGAAAAATGTTAGGTTCCAGAGGGATTTTCAAGAAACTATGTTAACGCAGACGAAGTCGCGGGGGACCTCTAGTAATCTATAATAGGTAGATTAAAGTCGTGTAGAGCACGAGATCTGTGTAAAATGTAGATATTTTTTTCGATCTACCTAGTAACTTAATAGCATCAAATGAGGGGTTAATTTCGTTGAGTTTCGTGTAAAAAAATATGATTGAATCTATAGTGAAGTAGTTCATGAGTTAATATTATTAAACTGTTTTGTTCAATCTAAACGGAGCTCGATGTGCTTACTCATACTCACTTGATTAGTGTTCAACTATTGTACCTAGTAGCTTTAGTTAAAAGCATAGAAAAGCTAATTTAGAGTGGAGGGAACCTCATACCTAATAATGTATTAGTCTTTATTTATACGATACCCTTTTTTTTGCAAATGGTAACGTTTCTGCATTCTTCGTTACAGCAAATTGAGTGTATATAATTTTACATTTGTTATAATAATAATAATAATAATAATAATAATAATAATAATAATAATAATAATAATAATAATAATAATAATAATAATAATAATAATAATAATAATAATAATAATTTAATTTATTTGCCAAAATACAGTTCACAAGTTGATACATATTAAGTAAGTACGTGTATTCTACCTGCAGGCAGGTGTGCAAATATTGCAGTCAGTTATTTTTTTCATCTGTCATGTAATCATGTTATTAAATAATTGCTAGAACTAATCCCCAAAAAAATAATCAACCCCAAAATATACCAGTCTTAGAAGATATTTGTATCCAAGCTCGAAAATCAAGTCACCTAATAATGATGAAAATACTTAGATTTCGTCAAAAGTCATTTATAATGAGAACGATACCACTCAAACGCACCTCTAATGCTGTTCTGAATCACGATAAATATTGTTATTTGATGGTGTTTTTATATATAAAAAAAACTGAATCAGAAACTTATTCGCGTTCCAGTCGCAAGTTGTTTTTGCTTACATAATAGGCGTACCAGAAATTGTGGAGATCCCTAGATGGGCATTTTTGGAGTAACCTAACCACAAATCGTAGTGAGCAATGAAATTTCCCAAACACTAGTTCTCCATTGCCCCTTTTTTTTCTTTTTTTATTACGAAGGTAAAATCCTTATTTACAGACGTTGGCGCCCTTTAGGGGCACACCAACGAACGGACCTCTCGCAAGTCTCACGGGTGCGAAACAGATAGGCCGTTAAGCAGTCCGCGCGGCTTACGAGCGCTTACGGCATATTATCCGCTAAAAACATCCTGCGAATACCCTCTACGCTGTTTAAGATCCACGGAACCACGAGATTCCCGTTGAGGGACTTCACCGCGTCTCCGCACCCAACAGCCTCCCGACCTAGCCGGGGGCCGTGGGGCAGGGATCCCCCGGGGTATTCCGCAGACGTGCGTAGGACTGCCCGCGGCAGCTAAGTGCGCGGCCTATTGCCCACCGCACCGCTCCCCGTCCGTTGCGGAAGTGCTGCCTAGGAGTTCTCCGTTGCTCCTGCGCGTCAACTGATACTGATCGAGATGTCCAAAGAGTCCGTTTGTCTCAGCTTCTCCGGTGTAATAACTATCTAAAAACCCATAACATGAAGAAGGAAAATTTTCTAGGCAATCTTCTCAAATGATGACAATAAACATCCGCTCGAGCATATAGCATTCACCAGCGTTCGCTTTTATTAAAGGTATTGGCGTAGCTAGGATTTTTTCATAGGAGGATAGCCGTCTAGTTGAACTTATCATTGTCACAGACGAGCTGGAGAAGTTTGTATAGGTTTCGACAGAACTATTTTCTAAAGTCAATCTGTAACATTTGAATTCATAGGCTGATCAGAGGTTTCCAGTCCAGGGTGAGTGAACACCTTGAAAACCATACCACCGACACCAAGAACGTCGTCAATGATTTTATTTACCAACTTCCTATAATATTACAGACCTTATGTTCTAATCATAGCGTACCGACAGAAAAGCTTCTCTTCTTTTGTAGCTACATCTATGTAGATGTTTACTCTAACTATCTACATTGAACAAGCTCCATTATTTCGCGATTAAATTATTTATTGACCTGCGTTGTCCACAATCTATTTCCTCGTTCCAGGGCATTGAACAACCGCGACATCTACCTAGGCTTCGAGTACATGGTGACGGACTTGTACAATGTGATCAAGCGCGGCAACATCTTTCATTCTCTCACCACTATCTGCCAATGCATTCCTCTTTAGCCCTGCTATTTTCCTGCTCACTACTCCAGGGTTCACCTGGAATACCTGTTTAGAACACTCGTCAGTGAGGGAAAAGCTCGTTGTTTTTCCTCATCATTTCATCATTTCTATTCCGCTTCGTCAGGACCTTTTATTCCCATTCACACTCTGTTGTCAGATAGACTGCTGATGTCTATGTTGAGAATAGAATGGTTCCATCCATCCGTCGGGAGTTAGTGTTGTTGCTTAGGTCTTGAAGTCGTGATCTTTTTTATGTTGAAAGGGTGGTGAAGCATATATTTTACGACCTCCGTGGCCGAGTGGTTTGTACACCGGGTTTCATGGTGTCGCCGACTCGAGAGGTCCCGGGTTCGATTCCCGGTGGGGGCAGATGTTTGTGTGATGAATACGAGCATTTATACTCCAGTCATGGATGATTAATATGTATTTCTATATGAATATACTTATATATGTATTCTATCCGTTACCCTAGTATCGCCTTACAGTACTTTATTTTATGGCTAGGCTAATTGGTGTGTGTGTTGGTTTTTTTTTCTATTATTTATATGGCCCACCTAATGTTAAGCGGCTACCAAAGCCTATAAAGACGCTTGCCGTAGGTACTAAAAATATCATCCGCACCGTCGCCTTTACCTGACCCTACTCCGTGGAGCCATGAAACCTTACTCACTGACAGAAACACAGCAATTTCAATTTCAATTCATTTATTCCATTAAACAATATAATTGTGTTGGAAACAATAATAATACAAAATAAAAGCAGACATAAATAAAATAATATTTCAAATTACAATTTTTTGATGTCAAATTGGATGTATTCATATTAAAAAAAAAACATGTCAACCTAACCCTTTCTCATAAATTCGTCAACGCTGTAATAACATTTCTTCAACAAGAAGTCCCTCAATTTGTTTTGAAAAGATTTGTAGTCAATAATCGATTTCAAAGTGATTGGAAGCCTATTAAAAATTTCGACCGCCTGGTACCTACAGCCATGTTTAACAACCTTAAGTTTAGGTTCGATCAAATATGGTAGATCCTTTCAAACGCCTTTCCCTGTCTATTGGCGTTTCAAAAGTTTCCGATTTTTTTGCGAAGTTGCACAAAACTGTTAATATACAAAGACAAGGGACCGTTAAAATTTTCACGAAATAATACTATTCTTCTGATAGCTCTTTTTTGTAACACAAAAGCTCTTTTAGTTTACTGTGATTTTTTGTAAGGTGGAGATTAGCTTTGGGATGGTTCTGCAAAATATCAGCTAGAGTCTCTGGAATGCATTGAGAGGCGTGCAACGAAGCTCATCGGTGACGACAAATTATTCGAGACTAGACTCCAAAGTCTTGAACACAGGCGAAAAGTTGCCTCTTTATCGGTTTTTTACCGGTTACATTTCGGAGAGTGTGCTTCGGAGTTACATAACTTAATTCCACCTTCACCTTTTTACCACAGAACCACCAGAGAGACGGCAAAACGCCACAGATATACCGTAGAGGTCCCACAAACTCGTACTAAACGGTTTGCTTCCACCTATATAGTTAGAACAGCTAGGTTGTGGAACTCTTTGCCGGAATCTCTGTTTCCAGTCACCTATAATCTGGGGCTCTTCAAGTCGCGAGTCAATCGGTTTCTTCTAGGCAAGCGCGTCCCACCTTAGGCTGCTACGTCGCTTTCCATCAGTTGCGTGGCCGTCAAGCGTAAGCCTATTTATTGTAAAAAAAAAAAAAAAAAAAATTACTTCTCCAGATGGGCCCTCCAATACATGCTATACCGCACCTCTCTTAGTTGTTGTTATTTATCTAAGTTTCTTTCAAATTATTTTATTGGTTCCAGGGCTCTAAACAATCGCGACATCTACCTAGGCTTTGAGTACATGGAGACGGACCTGCACAACGTGATCAAGCGCGGCAACATCCTCAAGGACATCCACAAGCGGTACATCATGTACCAGATGTTGAAGGCCACCAAGTACATACACTCGGGCAACGTGATACATCGGGACCAGAAGCCGAGCAACGTGCTCATCGATAGCGCTTGCAGGTGAGTCAGCTGTTCTTCTGGAATTCCTTATCTCAAAACAAAACGGAACTATCGTATAGGTTCACTTACTATAATTATTATCTGCCAGTTCTGGTCGTCTGTCATCACCCTTTTTCCTCAGAAACACGTGGAGCTGAAATTTATACCAAATACTCAAGTCAACTATTTCTTGGAGTAGTAAAAAATAAAATTTCTAAGTCATCGTATCAAATATATACGGCTACGGTGGCGGTATATGTTTATGATTGAGCCGTGACTCACCACGTGGACCTAGTGCAGATCAGATGCAGCCAACGGAGACCAACAATAGTTAAGCCTTTGTCACATCGTGATAAAAAATCTTGGTCAGCCATCTGACTGGCCACGCACTAACCACCACTGTCAGCATCGAGCTCGGCAATGATTAATATTCTGCCCACTGCTGAACACAAGCCTTCCTCAAAGATCTCCACGCTGATCTGCCCTGAGCTGTCCGCATCCAGCGGCTTCCCGCGACCTTTCGTCATCGATTCACCCACTGGGGTGCCTGTCTACTGAGCGTCGTCTTCATAATCATCCTTTATGGCAGGGTGAAGATAGCAGACTTCGGTCTAGCCCGGTCTGTGTCCAGCATCTACTCCGGCGGGGAGGAGGGCGCTGACCCCTGCCTCACCGATTACGTCGCCACGCGCTGGTACCGCGCTCCGGAGATTCTCATTGCCAGCAAGAAGTATGTATCCAAACGTCTTTTAACGTCAGTACCAAGACATATAAATCACCTCTATTTTTCTTGGTCACGTTTATTTGCATATATAGCCAAGTAGGCAAATGACTCTATCCCACCTGATGTTAAGTGGTGATAAAGTCCAAAGGCGAAGATAGCTGGTACAGCAGTTATAAACTGCCTCATCAACCATCCTCACCTTGCCGGCCTGCAAAAATGCTTCTTCACGCCTCTCTTAAAATACCCCAGATTATATTATAGGAATGAAGGAACACGTGCGCGGGCAAAGAATTCCACATAGGTATAACTTGAGAATGACTTTACTGATTTCCTCAATCATTATTTATAACTAGCTTTTGCCCGCGGCTTCGCTTGCGTTAGATTAGATTTTGAGTGAATGAATGTCAAACTCAGTAAACCTTGCTGCTCCATACAAACTGTGGACCCCGTTTTACGCCTTTAGGGGGTGAGTTTTGGAAAATCCTTTCTTAGCTCACGGCTTCATCATAATACCTATATGTGTTTAAAAATTTAGCGCAATGAGTTCAGTGGTTTGAGCTGTGTGTTGAAATATCAGCCAGACAGTAACAGTTGCCCTTTATTGATTCAGATTTAGTAGAGGTTGACAAAAACTAAAAACGTTACGCAGAAATTTAGAAAAATTAAGATAAGTTAAGTTAACTTGCAACTCTAAGTGTTGCCGCATACGGGCCACCGACCACAACCACAAAACGCCGCCACCGGCATATTTCTTGTAGTTTTCATACATTTAATATCGCCACACACGGTACGCCGGTGGCCACCACACGCTACAAATCGTCGTTGCTCGCTTCTTGTGGCCCGCACCGGCCACTTAATGCGCCGATACAAAACGCCGCCACACGTCACTCGTGCGATTCCCCAGCCCTCTCTCCCTTACCTTAGTCGGCCGCTGTCGCGCGCTTCAGCCACTTTAGTAGCCGCTTCTAGCTTCTAGTTTCTCGTCGCGGTGTTTGTGGCTGTGACGTGTGGCCCGTGTGCGGCGACACTAAATGCAACTGTACTCGATACCGATAGGCGACGCTGCAGTCCAGTTTTGGATTTTTCGTTTATTTTATAGGGAATGACAACGTGTGCCGTTTCAGCTAGTGTCAAAATAACAATAACAATCACAAAACCGGAAAAGTTGTAAGCTTTCCAATTTGAATAATCAATTTTTGACTTAGCCATATGGAGGTAGCTCTGCTCAAATTCCCATCTTTTAAAACCATTTAAGTTCCTATACGTATTGTAAAGTCTTGTTGTTGATGTGTAACATCTTTCCTCTCGCTTTCATGCAATTTGTGGGGGTGATTTCGTGAAATGGGACGTATATGTGTAACAGGAAGTCGGGGAAGCGCGCGCTATCTGATTTGTTTTTAGAATATTATGTTAACATTGATTTTGAAGTGAGTTTTTTTTAACTAAGGTGAGATGTCGAATGTTACACTCGAGAGGTCCTGGGTTCGAATCCCGGTGGGGGAAGATGTTTGTGTGATGAATACGAGCATTTGTACTCCAGTCATGGATGTTTAACATGTGTTTCTATATAAATATACTTATATATGTAGAGTAAATGTATTCTATCCGTTACCCTAGCAACCCATAACACAAGCCTTACAGTGCTTACTTTGGGGCTAGGCTAATTGGTGTGAGTGGTGGAAATATTTATTTATTTATTTATATGAGTTTCGTTCGTTCGTTTATATTATTATTTACTTGTTTTTTATATATTATTTACTGTCGCAGCTACACGAAGGGTATTGACATGTGGTCGTTGGGTTGCATTCTGGGAGAGATGCTGACCGGCAAGCCCCTGTTCCCTGGCACTTCTACCGTCAACCAGATCGAGAGGATCATGGCGGCACTGCCCAGGCCTTCTTCAGAAGGTATGTATTGTATGGGAAGCTCCTTTTCGGTGCAATAACCGAACGTTTATATTTTACATATTTGCAATAATTGGCACCGTCACGGTGCCTAGCCTTATATTAAAACAACAAGGGAAGATACGGTACGCTCATACTAGCATCAAATAAAATATGATCAGACTCAACTACATAAGCAACTCTCACACACGCACACGTCTGTACATAAAGGCATTGACGACCTCCGTGGCCGAGTGGTTTGTACGCCGGGTTTCATTGGGTCGCCGACTCGAGTGGTCCCGGGTTCGAATCCCGGTGGGGGCAGATGTATTGTGTGACGAATACGAGCATTTGTACTCCAGTCATGGATGTTTAATATGTATTCCTACATAAATACACTTATTTAAGTATCAGTATATGTATTCTATCCGTTACCCTAGTATGCCATAACACAAGCCTTACAGTGCTTACTTTGGGGCTAGGCTAATGGTGTGAGTGTTGGAAATATTTATTTATTTATATTTTGCATATTTGCAATAATTGACGCTGTCACGGCGCCTAGGCTCATTTAGGTCAGTAGCCGCAGTGCACAGCGACAAATATAAATTAGTTTACATATAGACGCCTATCCGGATCATCATCAGCCTATTAAGGTCCCCACTGCTGGGGCACAGGCCTTCCCTATGGATGGATTAGGGAGATTGGGCATATGGATGCACTCATTAAAATATTAACATTATTGTAGTATTTTTAAGAACATTTGTGAACAAGTAATAAACACGTAATTTTCGGTAACAATTTTATCATTTCAACATCCGCTCAGGCACCAACAGTTACATAACCATAGAAAGTATTTATTTTAGAATGTTATAGGAAAGTTCTGTGCTGTTCTGTGCCTCAACAGTGGCAAATGAGTGTCTATTAGGCCCCAAAATGTAATATTCGCTGCAGTCTTTTGCAATGGAGAGCTAATCCTAACTAAGCAGTGACCACATGACTCCAACCATCCATTCTGCAACAAAGAATTTAATCATATTTTAAGAGAAATATGGCATGCTCTATTTAGGAAATAGGGTATTTGACAGTATTAAAAATAAAGTGCCATTTGTTAGCATCTGTATTTAGAATGAATATTGGCAGGAGTTTTTACTATTTTTATAGAAAAAATATTCATAAATTTTACTAAAAACCCACGATAAAGATAATAGTTTTATTGTCTTTTGTCACGTGACCCAAAACGCTTGGGATTGGTGGAGCCTAAAATGACGTCACACGCAAGTAAACTTCCGGTTAAAGTGACATTAGATTGTATGGTTTGACGTTTTAATGACAGTCGTGTGACGTCACACACCAGTGAGACGCCATATTGTCCAGAGATACGTATTTTGCGGCAAATTGAAAATAAGAGTTTTTGGTTTAGTTTTTTTACCGAAATACACAATATAATGATGAATATCCACTTTTTATGGACTCTATAAACATTAGTAAATAACGTGAGATCGTTTTCTAAAACTTGTCAAATACCCTATTGTAACCTTAAATTGAGGACAGCAATCTGCATTCAAATAACAAAAATATTCAATATTCTTGAATGTCGTATTCTTTCACCGTTGCACGTTGACGACGTCGTGACGTGGCGACCTTGGAACTATCAAAGTCTAAGTTCCTGTCCACGTCTTCACGTCACGACATCGTTAAAGTGGAGCAAGTGGTAACGCAACATGTAATAACACGGCACCGTTCCACGTTGACGGCGTTTAGACGTGGAGATGTGGACAGGCCAGTGGCGGCGCTAGACCACATGTGGACGTCGGCGACATAGTTCGCGAGGCCTATTTTACTTCGCAGTAAAAAACCGTTAAATTAGGTGAGCCAAATTATAAAATAACGTATGAGTAGGAGAGTTTTATTGTTGACTAGCTTTTGCCCGCGACTTCGTCCGCGTTTTCGTCGTTATTATGTTAATGTATTGGTAATATTGTTTAGATCGCTTTCACATGAGGTTTAAGTACATATAGAATGAAAATACTTCAGCGCAAAGCTTCCGGGTAAATTACGTTGAAAGTTGACCCGTCCGGCACGTGAACATAAAAATTTCTAGGACTGCTAACCCGGGAAAGAGCGACATAACTGACCATGTGAAAAACAACTGACACCGAGATCTACTCCAGCAACACGAAAAGTCTGCCCTTGAGCCTTATTTATTGTCATTGCATAACACACCGATACTGGGAATTGCGTTCTTTTAAATTAGAATGGAAAATTATTTGGTATTATGGGAATTCTGGGAATAAAGATGGTTTCTCCTGCACCGCAATCTGTTAAAATTTGAGCCTCGATTACATTTTGTTGCAACTGGGTTACTTTAAGCCGAGTTCCATTGCAAATTTGTGGTGGTCTTAAATTTCGGAGCAGAATAATCGGAATGCAAATTTTTAAACAAAGGACAATGGCGAAATATTTGTTGAAGTAAATCTTTAGCGTCTATAGATGTCATTATCAGAAATGTTAATAAAATAATCTCAAAAGATTTATTCAACAATTCAGGAGGGTTGTCTAAGTCTGGAATTAAAAACTTTAAAAAAGGGGAACACAATTGACTATTTATTTTTATTGTGGCTTGGCATCATGGCTTTTGAGCCATTTATTTTAAGTGATTTTAGTGATGAAATCAACTTTAAATATGTTGTTCGTATGTTTGGCATCGCTTTACGCTTAAACTGTATTTAATTTATCTATAAAAAATATCGGGAAACATTATTTTTCAATATTATACTGAAACCATAATAAATAATCTCCACAATACAAAAAGGGTATGGCGACAATTCTAACGCAAAAAACTATTACTGTCACTGTCATGCTTGTCATCGAATTGTTGTTGTTATTGTTATCATTATCGTTTCTTGTGATTAAGTGCATGCGTATTGCAACGATTTAAATCGGCGCATTGTTTTTTTCTGAGATTTGTGTTTTTATGTGACTTGGACTGCATTTGGACTCTCGAAATCTTCCCTGCGACTGTTGAGTAGTGCTTGCCTAAGACTTCCGAATCTGATATTTCGGACGATTTCTTGCTGTGGATTTTGGACACGATTCCGTCCCATACTGTGTATTTTATTTCATTGTATCTACTATCTACGATATTGTGATCAAAGATATGGAATAAAAAATATATAGAAAAGTGTTTCATATTTAATTAATATCCCATCAGTACACTATTAGAAATCCTTTATAGTAGTATAAATACTTTATTATTGCTGTGGTCATTTTCAAATTGTTAAGTACTTCTTACAGCACAGACATTGTATTCGAACTAAATAACCCTAGTTTGTTTAGTATTACATATTAAGTATTTTGACGCGGTTGGTCAATAAGTACCTACGTCCACTGATGATACATTATAAAAATCATTTTTTTTTCGTCACTAATGTACGGGAACCTTATACTTTTATAGTGCCATTCACGTTTTTTTTTATTTTGATATAAGAACACTCTTATAATCGTTTTTGTATTACTTAGTATGACATAACCTCCAAAACTTCAAAGTAGAATATCTATAAATCCAGACTTCCTATAATAATAGAAATAAGACGAATCAAATCGAGAATCTAAACTCTATAATTTAAGATGTAATTCATTTATAGACGCAAAAAAAAATTTCAACAAAAATTTCTATGGGAGTTCGCCATTGTCCTTTCATGAGAAGGAAGTCCGGGCATATTTAAAGAATTTAAAAATTCTATTGGGTAATTAGTGGTTTCTTGTTCATCGGCCATTCTATTTATTGAATTATAAACTTTGCTTTCCCCCTGGATATTCGACAGTATTTTATTATTAATCTCAGATGCCTGGTCATTGCGAGGAGTTAAAATGGACCTTTCCCATAGCCAAGAATTGTCCTTATTTAATATATTTGTTACGTCACCGTAAACTGACGATGTAAGATGTTATTGGGATTGCACTATACAACATAGCTCAGGCGTCAGAATAAGTTTTCCTTGGTGTAGCAGTGGGTAGGTATCTTTGGTGAAGGTATTTTCTTTAATAATATATCAGAAAATTCACGATCATCCGGGTTATCTACAGTTCTCACTCGCATGTTTATAGTCAAATGCACCGATTGTATATCACGCCACAAATAAGAGCTTTTCAGGCAAGCCCTAATCTCATCAGCTCGGGTTCCCCGTGGTATTACCGGTAAGGTTTGTCGGAAATCACCACCCATTAGTCGATCATTTTGTCTTATATCCCTTAAAGTTCTGTCTACCTCTTCTACTCCTTTTCGATTCATCCCATATGATTAAATTACACTTTGAATGAATATTTAAACACTACCAAAACAGCTAATACGTGGTCCTAACTTTAGCTACCTTACACTTAAAATCTAAGTGACTATTTAAACTAAAATATTCTTATAGAATTATAACCAGAAATATATACAACTCACAACAAAAAAGAAATGAAAATAAAGCTGAAACGCCTGTGCAATACTATCTACCTATACCTACTTCACTTAAAAATAAATACTTATAACTACTTTAATTAATAAAAGTACCTACGCTTAATAATTTTTAATTTGAACGAATATTTAAACACTACCAAAACAACTAATACCTATTTTACAAAATAACAACAAAAGAAATTCAAATAAACTATTTAAAGACTAAAAGTCGCGCTGATAAGCACGGTTTCTCAATATTTCTCAATTATTGTCAATAAGGTCGAACGCTCTAAACGCATCAACAGCCAAATATTGAAGCTCGCTCGCTCTCTTTTTTTATTTTTTTTGCTTCCTCCCAGGCGGGGGAGCAGGTGAGAAATCCTCATGGATACCCTACAGCTGGCTGCAAGGTTATGTCAGACTCGTACTGACTAAAAAACACCCGTAGGGGCTGCCTCTGGCCGGGATGCCTCTAAGGCTTCATCGGAAGCGATCGCCCCCAGGGGGGGGGGGGGGGAGCGACGCAGAAAACAGATTTGGACTAGGCTTGTTGAAAATATATCGATGTATCGATATATCGATATTTTTTGTTCGATATATCGATATTTTTTGCCGATATATTTTGATTCGATATATCGATATATCGATACAAAATAACCAATATCGAAATTCGTATCAAAAACGATATTTTTTTAATTATTAGCGGCATATCACGATCTAACTAAATTCGTATCTGGAAAAATCATAACTAGATCTCAGATTAATGATATTCAACATAGCTATGATCTGTGCTGTATTTAGCATTGTCTATTATTTGTAAATCTGTTTCGCTGGTGAATTGGTTGTGCTGATTTCCATTATATTCTGTGGAAGTGTGTGACTGTCTAGTCTTGTTTACGAAAGATGGCACCTGAGAGACCCTGGCATTGGCATTTTCATCATTCGAAAATAGGGTCTATTTTTAGGGAGATTATTTTCGTTCCATTATTATTCCGCGTGTCATATTTCGTGAGATACTGTACTGTCATGTAGTGTAGCGGCAATTTGGTACTTTGATAATTCTTTCTTTAATTATAATTTGTATTGAACTATTATTACTATGCTAGGCTGACCTAAATATATTTTTGGAAAAATTGGCCCGATATATCGATATTTTTTTTCGCGATATATCGAAGCCGATATTGATATTTTTTAAAATGTCGATGTATCGATATATCGATATTTTTTTCAACTTTCGACATCCCTAATTTGGACAGCTCGCTCTCGGACCTCCCGCCTTTTGATACGCGCCGCCGCGACCCGTGTCGAGCGCGGCAACCGTTACACAAAAATAATCCTTATAGCATGATTCAGTATTTACGTGCGACGGCGCGATGGCTTATTTCATGTATAAGTTTTGTGTTTCTATACCGATTTCTATGTTTTGTTTTTATTGAATAGGTAATAATGTTAACTTTTTTAAATTAGGGATGAGTCAGAGTATTATAAACGTAAGAGTAAACAAATATGATCAGAATGCTCCGAACTGATAAGCTATCGGGAGTTACACGTGTTACTGTGAGTCAACCATAAAAGATAGACATATGCTGTTCCGGGATATTTTTTAGACAATTTTATGTAGAATATTTCCGTCATACATGATTTCTATGTAACTTTAATTATTAAGGCGTGTGCAACGCGACGGAAGTTTAAAAAATGGAGTAACTTCTCCCGTTTTCCCCAACATTTCTCTTCACTACTCTGCTCCTATTGATTGTAGCGTGATGAAAAGTATAGGTACTATAACCTGCCCAGGAGTATGAAGAATAATTGTACCAAGTTTCGTTAAAATCCGTCGATTAGTTTTTGTTTCTATAAGGAACATACACACAGACAGACAGACAGACAGACAGACAAAAAATTTACTGATTGCATTTATGGCATCAGTATCGATCACTAATCACCCCCTGATAGTTATTTTAAAAATATATTTCATGTACAGAATTGACATCTCTACAGATTTATTATAAGTATAGATAATCAAATGGTGACAAAAAATAATTACAAACATAGAAATTTAATTACAAAATAGTGTTGCCAGACAGACGATTCTGAATACCTGTAAAGTACTAATCGCTTCCATCACGCACGTGTTCGAAAATAATAAAAGTCATTATCATCTGCTTAGCTTTTTCCCCGAATTGTTCGGGGTCGGCTACCTAAGCCAGGCCAGGAGAAACGAAAATAAATAGGTAACTTCTAAAAACTTTTTGCGAGGCCCCCTTAGGCGCGGGGCCGTCGGCGGTGGCCGACGTCGCCGACAGCTAGCGCCGCCACTGGGACAGGCACTTAGGCTTTGATAGCTCCACGGTCTCCACGTCATGACATCGTCAACGTGGAATAGTGCGATAACGTTAAAGATGTCGTGACGTGGACATGTGAACCGGCATTTTTTCACTGAAAGAACACGACACTAAAGAATTGAATATTTTTATTACTTATATATTAATACTAGCTGACCCCACGAACTTCGTACCGCCATAAAAATAGGGGCTGGTAGAAGAAGGATGAAAATTTAGGGTTAATTGTATTTTTTAATGCCACATTATAAAAATAAATAAAAAAAAGGTCAAAAAAAATATAGTTCTGGATAACCATTATCACTTGGAGGTATGAAAAATAGATAGTAGCCGATTCTCAGACCTACTGAATATGCATATCAGACCTCCCATTCTGTAGACATATCAGCCGTATGCAGCGGGTACGGCTCCTCCCTGATCCGCGAACAGGCATCGTCCGGCAATCAGACGCGCGCCTCCCTCACCGCGCTGCTGTCCTGCGCGTGCAGGGACGCCAGCGACCTAGTGCAGCGGCTGCTAGTGTTCAACCCCGCCCGCAGACTCAGCGCGGAGATGGCGCTGGACCACGAGTACGTCAGCAAGTAAGTAGACTCCCTACGTATCAACCAGGGACGCCGGCGACCTAGTGCAGCGGCTGCTAGTGTTCAACCCCGCACGCAGACTCAGCGCGGAGATGGCGCTGGACCACGAGTACGTCAGCAAGAAAGTAGACGGTTGCTCGTCTTCAAAAAGGCACGTTAAGCCATTGGCCCTGGCTGCATCTGCAGTCGTTAGTACCCACCAAGCCACACTGGGTCCACGTGGTGGGAAAGGCTCCCCTGCAGTGAGTACATTAGTATACTAGGGTGATGATGATGATGAAGTAGACAACTGCTCATGTTCATTCCGGTTAAAGAGCTTAACGCAAAAAGGTCTCTGGTCCACGAATACATCAAAAAGCAAGAAGACTTAGATAAAGGGCTGGGAATCGGGCATGAGCGATCAAGAATAAGTGAGCAAGTGAGTAGACAACTGCTCGTCTTCTATATGGTAAAGAAACTAAGAGGAGGATGCACTTTGGGCCCACAAATATGTCAGCAAATATGTAGCAGGACTAGGGTTGCCAGGCCATAAAATGCAAAGGCCAGACTGCGCACTATATAAGGCCTGAAATTTTGCCCTAAAAGCCGGACAATTTTTTTTACGGCTCACGTCACGCGCCGCGCGCGCCAACAGTTTGCTCTCTTGTCCGCTCGGACGCTCGTCCGCCCATCGTCGTACGAATCGCCACTCTGACAAAAAGCCTGACAAAAGCCGGACAGGCTAAACACGTACATATTTGGCCGGACGCGACCGCAAAAGCCAAACATGGCCGGCTAAAGCCGGACACCTGGCAAGCCTTTTTTTTTAATGTCTAGAAAATGCATTACGCATACTTCGCCAACCGAGGGTTGCGGACGAAGCTATCGGGGACTCCTCTCCGTCGCTTCAGGGAACACAAGTGCTCCGAGAAGCAAACGGGGCCCTACCTCGCCAAGAAGGCGACCGCCACAAGGGCGACCGTAAAAACTACTCCTGCACCGGTCACCCGGCGCGCATTATGAGGGACCGCGGTCCCTCCTAGTGCGCACTGGGAGTGCGAGTGATGTGGCGGTATCCGTTTCCGAATAGTCCGCCCACCCGAAAGGTGATTGTCCGCAAGCGGACCCGCCCCGATGAAGATGCCCCGGAGTATTAGGGGCATCAACATCCAGAGAGCTTGTGCAATGCAAGCCTGGCCGCCTCAGGACAGACTCGCGGCCCTCACGAGAGTGGGAGGGAGAGCGTAGTTCTCTCCGTCCCTCTCTCGTCCCCCCTTGGCCCTGAAAAGGGCTTTTTGAGCATCGACCAGCCACTAGCAGTGATTGCTAAGAATCACTGTGGGATGATGCTCCTACCCCCTAGCCCTGAAAAGGGCCGTTTCCCCCGCTCTGAGCCCTGAAGGGACTCAGCAACCCCCGGCCCTGAAAAGGACCTTTTACACCTGGCAAGCCTAAGCAGGACGAATACTGCAAGAAATCGTGTACTGAAAGCCTGTGCGTGCCAAGTTTTACTGCCGGATGCCAATCCAATAAGGCAATGTATACTTAATGCAATGTTGTGTGAAACCTGTGCTATCGTCGGGAGTCAACCTAGGGCGATCACAAACACATCAGCACGTAAGTAGACCGACGTATAGTGTGACACAACGTGCGGTGAAATCCTGTGTGAAGCGCATCGATCGAGCTAGTGCGATCGAGATTAAATCAGCAAGTAAGACGACTGTTGGTCTTAAGCAGAGAAGTAAGATGAGAAAGGTTCCAGGGCTCCACGGGATAGGGGATTGGGCCAGGGCAAGCAACGATGCGAGTAATATTTTTGGTATTACAAGCGTCTATAGGCTATGGTCACGTTTACCACCAAGTTTGCCATTAGCTCTGTTTTATTTTATTTTTTGAAGCATTTAATTGCTAGATGTTTAAATCTAAAGAAATGTTTTAATAGAAAAATCCACACGGACCAGGCAGTGGACGGGACGCCAACCCGCACCCTTCGCAATCCGGGCGAATGCACTGACCAATTATCGGCCATCAGGGCCGTGGTAGCATAATTGGTCAATGCATTCGCCCGGATTGCGAAGGGTGCGGGTTCGAGTCCCGTCCGCTGCCTGGTCCGCGTGGTTTTTATTTCTAATAAAACTTTTTTTGCCATTAGTTTATTTGGTGCCACCCTTTTAACATTAATTAAGAAAAGGCTCTGGGCGACGAATGCGTCAGCTGGTATGTAGACTTACGTATCATCATCATTGTCTTCTCTCGCCAGTGGGGAAATTAAATAGGCTGTCTTCATCCTATTTAATGTCCCTACTGTTGGAGTCACAGGACACAGAAAAAGGTTATCACACTTCTAACCTTTTCTGTGTTCTGTAGTTGGAGCATAGGCCTTTCCTACGGATGGGATGGGAAAAATGGGCCATGTATAAGGCTGCCATCCGTCTGGGTTTCCCCGGATTTGTCCTAGATTTGTCGTCCGGGCGGGGTTTTATTTGTAGTCCGGGTTTAAAAATTTACGGCAACGCATGAGTGGCCCTTGGTGCTGCAAGTGTCCATGAGCAGCAGTGACCACTTATTATGAGGTAGACCGCTAGCTCTTTTGCCTAGATCAACATAAAAAAGTTGATTTGTGACATTTTTAACTGGTTTTTATTGGTCTGTCCGGGTTCTGGGCTCCAAAATCCGGGGTGATCACGCATCTTATCCTGGTTGCCACATTTTAGAGATGGCAGCCCTAGCCATGCACCATTACGCGGGCTAAATGCGGATTGGTGGGTGATAATGACTGCAGATGCAACTGGGCTTAAAGTGTTTTCCGAAACACCGACGAAATAAATGTTGGTTACCCATCCCTTATCCGGATATTGCGAAAGGTGCCTAACTTCCACGACAGCGGATACGTAGCAAGTAAGTGTCGGCGCACACGGGTCTCTAAACCACAACCACAAAACGCCGCCACCGGCATATTTCTTGTAGTTTTAATACATTTTATATGGACCCGTCACACACGGTACGCCGGTGCCCGCCACACGCTACAAATCGTCGTTGCTCGCTTCTTGTGGCCCGCACCGGGCACTTAATGCGCCGATACAAAACGCCGCCACATGTCACTCGCGCGGTTCCCCACCCCTCTCTCCCTTACCTTAGTCGGCCGCTGTCGCGCGCTTCTGCCACTTTAGTAGCCGATTCTAGCTTCACGTGGCGGCGTTTGTGGCTGTGGCGTGTGGCCCGTGTGCGGCGACACTAAGTAAAATGACATAAACTGCCTAAAAATATATGGTGCAATGATGTGTCAACCGAGTGTCTTCTGCTAGGATACAAGCTACAACGAAAAAACTAAAATTCGTATTTCGGTCAATATGCGACCACTTTTAACTCTCAAACTCAAATTCACCATATATTCGGTTTTGGCTTTTAAAAGCACATGTGAAAGTCGAAAGCTGTGTCAAGTAACATATCCTTTGACTTGTCAACCAAACCTGTGTCCATTGAACTTGCGATTCAAGTTTGAAACGTGTCTGATATATTGTATTATTATATTAATTAATTATATTCGTCTTCGCCGGAATACTCATATTCTTGCTCTTCTTTACAACATATTGTTCAATCCTAAGCCCCCGCGCTATCTTAAGGAATGTTTTAATTTCCTTCATACTTCTAACACGTTATCCCTTAGCTCATCAGAAAATCTTACTCTCATGACTCCTGTACACGGCACATCTTTTTATAGCCGTTCGTGTGCAGTACGTGCCGTACATCTGTAGAACTCTCTCCCACTTACCATAAGACGTGCGGAATCCATTCACGCTTTTAAAAACCTTGTTAAGTCCTATTATCTGTCTCTATAAAACTTTCGATTATATATTTTTTTTGTGATTACTACCTACTGAACTAGATTTGTTTATTGTTGTGTATGGATCTATTTATTTTATATAAGAGTATATATATTGTATATTTTTATTAATACGTATGTATATAAAGAAAAGTTTACTAGAAAAAAATCCACGAGGACCAGGCAGCGGACGGGACTCGAACCCGCATCCTTCGCTATCCGGGCGAATGCACTGACCATTATGCTACCACGGCCCTATTAGCCGCGTCGAAATTTTCCTAGCCTTAGCTGCAAGGCAGCGCCATCTCTTCGCATTGTAGGTAACCCACAATGTCAAATGAATACTTTTTCAAGTATTAAACATTTGAAAGAAGAAATAGCAATTATAGTTATGATTTTATTTATTTTTTAAGCATTTAACTGCTAGATGTTTAAATCTAAAGAAAAGTTTACTAGAAAAAAATCCACGCTGACCAGGCAGCGGACGGGACTCGAACCCGCATCCTTCGCTATCCGGGCGAATGCACTGATCATTATGCTACCACGGCCCTATTAGCGGCGTCGAAATTTTCCTAGCCTTAAGCTGCAAGGCAGCGCCATCTCTTCGCATTGTAGGTAAATTAAATAAATAATAATAATAATATGCACTTATATGTACGTAGTTTATAAATATAAATCACAAATATATGGAAACGACTTTTTTCCTAACCAATGTCAAGACAAATAGACAACAAGAAAACAATTAAAATTTGGTAGTGTAAGAGTAATTAGTAATAATTTTACGGCGTAACGAGTAGCTCAGTCTTTCTAGATTTCACTTTCACAGATAGATCAATTTATGAATAACAATATTAATTATCAAGAACTATAATATCTAACAGATACAATTAACCTTACGTAATTAACTGAAATGAGATCTAAATCATTATTAAAGTATTTAAGAATAAAAAAAACAAGTCTTTTAGGTATTTAAGACAGATACCACCATGATTTGATGAATCTGACGAACGAATGAATGGCATAAATTATCACAATGATGAGTTTAGAACTCTTTAGCTTAATCAACTTACGATAAATAATTCTTTTAATTAATAATTGTAAGAAAAAAAAAGTATTAAAAGAAAATCAATATTGATTTTGAAAAAAAGATTGTAGAAAACAAATATTGTTAATTGCGTCATCAGGGGGCCAATCGCCTAACTGGATTGCTTTGGAAAACGCTATCGCTTACGATTTCATTTTGTTATTTCTAACCGCCGAAATACCTCACGCTCATTTTCTTTAACATTGTTATTACCAATGCAAAAGAAAAAAAAAGAGCGCGAGGCATTTGAAAACCTCAGGGGGCTAGAAATAACAAAATGAAATCGTAAGCGATAGCGTTTTCCAAAGCAATTCAGTTAGGCGATTGGCCTCCAGCTAAAGGATTCTAATAGAGCTGCATATTAATGCCTGCCGAAAAGGCCCTTTCAGCTTCTACACTTGTCGGCTTTATTGTAGCACCGGATCCGGTCTTCGGATCCGGTATATTTGCTACCGGATCCGGTAACATCAAATGATGCCGGATCTGCCGGATTACCGGATCCGTTTTTCCGGATTGCAAACCCTACTCGCGGCCCTGGGGATGTTAATCCGACACGTAGAGGTCATTTCAAGCGTCTCCATATAAATCCAACACGTACAACCTATTTTAAGACATTACTGTTTATGTAACGGATGCAGTAGGTACACATGTTGGATCTAGTTTATGAAAATATGTTACTTGTCTTTGAGTATATAGGTATACGTGAAGCGGCTCAAAAATGACTACTACATATGGTAGATACGCTTGTCGCTACACACGCACACATTGACTGCTTTCAAACAATCTGACATTAGAGTTACGCACACATTGCGCGTAACATGAGCCGTTTTCTTTGCGTCGTTTATTTGAATTGCTCTATCTATAATAGGCGTGTATATAATTTAAGGATTATATTCTTAGATTCCATAGAGAGCGTGACGAACCCATTCTGGCATCTGACGTCCTGTTACCACTGAGGGATGACAAGCAGATGTCCGTGGACGACTACAGGAACAAACTGTACAGCATCATGGCGAAAGGCAGTCACAGCAACGGACACACTAGGAAGTTGCAGCCGAGGTGATACGTCTTTTTATATATTTCAATAGGTACTGTTGTCTCCCTACACCGCGTGGCAATGTAAATAACTTTAGAATTACTGGTTTTTGATGCCGCCATTAGGTGAAAGATATTTCCCTTAATTTTTGAATTAGAATGACTGTAGTAATATAAGTTATTTACGGGATTGTTACCATGTACCTTGTTTTTTTTTTTTTTTATATTACTTTACCCCACCTGATGTTAAGTGGTAATAAAGTCCAAACGCGAAGATAGCTGGTACAGCAGTTATAAACTGCTACACCAATCATCCTCACCTTGCCGGCCTGCAAAAATGCTTCTTCACGCCTCTCTTAAAGAACCCCAGATTATAGGAAGGGGACACTTGCGCGGGTAAAGAATTCCACTTACGAATAGTACGACAAAGAAATGAGTCACCAAATTTCTTTGTTCGTGTGGGATTGTGGCCACAGTAAGTCGGTGGCAATGATCGCAGCCGAACGCGCTAATCATCTGCGCCATCGAGCTTCTCTGCTTGTAAGCTTAGCTGCCCATTTTTCTTATGCACATGAAAATTACATTCTTCTCCATAATATCTCCTCAAACGTCCTCTGTAATAGAAGTGCTCTGTTCTCTTACAGAGGACAGGAGACTTATGTCCTATCTTTCAGTTCCTAATCAATTACAATGCCGCTTTTGCCACCCAATGTTTTTTAACCAAGATAAACGGTTTCCGATTTCATGACTATACCATAGTTAATTTATACAACATTGAAAATTTACGCTTTCCAGTGCCAGAACCCACACACTACCCACGACCACATCTAAAAGCAGCAAGTCCTTCAACGAATCCGACATAACTCGCTCCAAATCCAAACATATCAGTTCTTCCGCGGACCAGAAGACCAGGCCCAGAGTGAACAGAACCCTGGATAGACCCGTCAAGGAGTACAGATCGGACCAGGCTATCTCCAAACCTCTCAAAGCTACCAGAGCTTACGACAACCAATGGTTAGAGACTACTAACTGCTACGGTGATTATTTCCAGCCAGTCACAAGGCAGAGTCCTTCAGATTCCGATTTCATGAGTGGTAAAAAGGTTTCTGTGCAGCATAGGAGGAATTCGACTTCCTTCTCAACGGTGACTATTGGTGGCGATTCTGAATACAATGGGTTTGCTGGAAAGAATCAGAGGCATGGAGTTATAACAGCCAGTGCTCTCATGGACTTGAGAACCAGCATACGATGAATGCTGGTGGATATTGATGATTTTTTTTTCTTTTGAGTTTATCCTTTTTTACTTTGACGGATATGCAGAACCTTGTTAGCTGCTTGGATTCGGGAAACCGGGATTTACTGTACTTTCAGACACACGATACTATGTATATTTTTAAACACGGGAGAAAGTTCTAAAATGTGTCATAATAACAGGAATATTTCTATTATTACCGGAATATTTTGGGTGTTGCCGTAATTAATAGGTAACTGGGAATTTTGGATATTTTTAGTTGCATATCACGAGCTGCATGTCGAGTCAGATTCTGATTTTGTCAATTATCTGATGTCTAGGGCTGCTGCAAATGACATTGCAATATGATGTTGTTGTGTAACCAGGTAAAGAATATTTTAACTGATATCTAGAACTACTTATATAACTCGTTTAAAAAGATTACTGTAGAACACTGTATTTAACAATGTTTATAATGTGATAATATCAGTATTCGTAGTATTCGTGGTGAAAATGTATCCAATGCCATGGCTCCGATTGTTCTAACTTAAAGAACTTTTATTGATATATAATGATATATCAATAATATCTGCCAATGGGCAGCTGTTTGTTCAATGTCTATTGTGGAGTCGAATTATTGAAATTTTATTAGATTTTTTTTATAAAAGTAAATTTTCCATTTATACAAGGTCAAATTTTGCTCGTATCATATTTGACAATTGAGGTTCAATCCCCAAGCAACATCTACAAATCAGAAAGAATCACAATTTATTCTTTAAAATCTATCTCCTTAATATGAAACATCTGATATTTCTTTTTCGTTAAGTAAAAATATGAAAAAACATCTGAGGAGTAAGTCAGATGTTTTTTCAGTTATTTTTTTAATGTTTTCTAGTCAGAGTTTGTCTTTGTTAGTTATTATAATTATGTTGTTTCATAAAGAAAATGAATGAAAATTTGCGTTTGACGATCAAATACCTGGTGTAAATGTATATACATAATTCTGTAAAGATTTCCATAGTTTTCACAACTCTATCCTTTTTTATGGCTCAGAAGCCAATTTGAGAGAAAAATAAGGCTCATGTTTCAATGATAATCAAAAAATATTACATGATCTTGAAATACAACTGGTAATCTAACCATAACCTTTACCTTTAATAGCAGTAGTCCGGTAGACCGAACTACTGACACGACACGTCGCTAGCCCGTATTGGGGTGCACGAAAGACATGACTCTGTATTCGGGAACTCAAAGCAATGTTTACCCTGGAATACGGGCTGCAAGACGATAGCGGGTAAACATAACGAAAAGTATCCGAATACGGGCGTACTCGACTCCGTTCATTTACATTTAGGCCCACTTGCACGTTCGAGGGTTAATTTATTTACCACCGAGTTAACTATTTAACTGGAGTTAAAAAAAAAATTTTTCTTGCACTGCCATGAGTTAACACTAAAGCTTAGGTTAAATAATAAAATAATTGACCCGCCAAAGTTGGAGGGTTAAATTGCTAACTCGAGATTTAAAACGTCAAAATTGTTATTATAGGCTGTGTTGTTTCTTTTTATAGAGATAATATTTTATTTATTTCTGAATGATGGATGACTTTTTGTTTTCTGATGATGACGAAAAAATTGTCGACTATAATATAAGTAGGTACATATTTTTTGACCGATATATCCTGCCAAGCTTTTTGTTTTTGAAGAAGAGTAGCGCGGTCATTTTTTTATTTTCAATAATATTTATATATTTGTATAAAATATCACATAGCAATAAACGGTCACTACTTGTAAAATTCGGGACACGTAAACGAGATTTCTTCTTCATTTTTCAAAATTTTGCACGAGATTGTTGTCACAAAATACAAACTTACGAGACAGATAGGTACTTTAAAACACCATGCAATCGGTATACAAACACGTATTTGACAGACAAAATAAAGGACGCCATTCAACTTAAACGCCCAAAAACACCACGTCTTTTCAAATTTGACATTACGAGAGAGATATATGCAAGATACTGTTGTGTGAAAGGGAGAACTATACTTACGCCATTCATCATTCTCTCTTTTAGTTGGGTTAGTAAACCCTGGATTATTTTCTGTTCGTGCAAGATAAAGTCTGAGTTAAGAAAATGTTATATTAACTTTAAGTTAGTTACTCGAAGTTATTTTGAAATCTCAAGATTTACGTGCAAGTGGGTCTTAGTCGTTCAATTCAATTCAATTCAATTTATTGCACTCGTGTGGTTACATAGATGATTACAAAATGCTTATAGTACCCAAGATGAACCCTGTCTTAACGATAAAAATTACAAAAGAATTTAATTAATAAACAATTAGTTATGTATATGAGGAACCTAATTTGTATTAAATCACTTTGTATCTCAAATCATGCATAAATGTCATCTGATTCCATTAGTTTAACAATATAACTTACTCAATTGATCTTATTTGCAGTAGAAATATAATAGGAATGGAAATTTATTTATAAAATTAAATTCACACGAATTCTATTGTGAATCGTATTCGGGCTGACGACCAAATGTAATTGAACCATTAGTCCGTTAGACCGAACTACTGACTTTTCAGTTGCGATAGTTCAGATGTACACGTCACCCGGACTATTGATCCTCATCTGGTATCACAAGTTCGATGTTGTTGGTTAGAAGCTTTTTCATAACCAGATATTAAACAAATCTATTCATCCATTTTCATAACCAAAACCTCTCACATACATAGCTATATATATGGTTTCCTGGTACTTTATCAGGTACAATGTTTTTTACACGGGAAACTAAATTGAGAACATTAAAGATAAAAAATATATCAGAAAATGTATTGTCACTAGATCCATCATGGATTTAATTTCTTTATTCAAGTTAATTTAGAAAAAACTTGTGCGTGTCGGGACGCACGACCCCGTCATCGTCTTGCAGCCAGTATTCCAGTGTAAATATTGCTTCGGGTGCCCGAATTAGAGTAATGTCGTTCGTAGACCCATAACAACCGGACTACTGCTAGAAGAGAAACCTTTAGGTTAACAACCGTATTTTTTTGGTGATGTGATTGTTGCGGACCTCTTTGCTATTTTGATAGCTGATGTAATTTTTTTACTCGTTGGTTGCTTTTGACGTTGTCTGTTCTATTTACCTATTTCTTTCTGTTGGCTTAATTTTCCGCTTTTATTAAAAAAATATAATTCTTCAACTTGTATCATCGTTTTATCATTTGCGGAGATCAATTTGGTTTGTTCATTTCATTTTGGTTTTCACCAGTAATTTTCCAGCGTACCTATTTTTCATTACGTAAACACAGGTCACAGTGGTTCTGCTAGGGTAAGCGCAGAAAATTAAGCCAACAGAAATAAATAGGTAAATAGAACAGACAACGTGAAAAGCAACCAAGGAGTAAAAAAACTACATCAGCTATCAAAATAGCAAAGAGGTCCGCAACAGTGATATTTTAGAGGATCATTTAAATATTTTCCGAAAAAAATGAACACATATTATAAATAATTATACTTTAACAGATAGATATTTTACGAATTGGTTGGAAAAAATACTTTTGAAGTTCTCACAAAATTTATTTTATATTATTATGTTATTGTTACTGAGTTATTATTTTCGATTTAGTTTACCTAGTCGCAATTGTTCTTGATGCGTTATCTAAATTTGTGTTTTTTCTTATGTTGCATAGGTGTTATAGTTTTAAGAACCCAAAAACTGTTAAAAACTTCTAGACAACTAATTTGTGAAAAAGAAAATTGTTCACGAGGGCGTCTCACGAGTCCCGTTTTTAATTTCTAATATAAAAATACATTTAAAATTGTGAATGCATAAAAAAATTAGGAATAAAACTTTAATTAACTACAGTCGATTTTTAAATTGTAATCTGTTCTGATGATATTTCTATAAAATGATATAATTAAATAAATATTCTTGGTTATAATGATGTAGTTAAAAATTCATCACGAGAAATTGAAGATTTGCACAATTAACTGATAATACACTGCCACATTAAAAAGTAATGTTTTATGATATTAATATTAGAAAAAAAAAACTACTGATAGGTCGGTAGTTTTTTTTAGCTATAATTGAATTTATATTTTCATAAAATTATAATTCCTAAGGAGCGTCTTTTGACAGGTGATAACAAAAGGGAATATAGGTATGAGTATAGTGTTGTCTTAGATAAATTTGTACTGTAATGGCTTGCGCAGACGAGGGACTTTAAGCCGCGGAGGAAAAAAGACCCTGAATGAAACTGGTGAAAAAAAAATAGGTATGTGCATCACGGACTTAACTCGCACAGTGTGCGAACATTTGTTGCCCGAAAATTTTGAGAAGCGCAAACTATGAAAGTAAATATTCTCAGATTACGTCGTGTTGTAATTAACATTAAGTTTAAGAAAAATATAGGACTTTTTAATAGAGAATACTGTAATCTGATCGAGGTGTCTAAAGTTCGCTGTGTGCGTTGTTGCGGCTTTTTTTTTGCCGTGTAGAAAATGCGTGACGTATATGTGCCCCGCCGCCTGGCAAGTGGCGAGGTTATGTGGGACTCTACTTCGTGGACTCATCCAACGGAGCTCCACTCGATGAGTCCTCGGAGGCCTCCCCACTCAAAACCCCACGACGCCCCCTCGGTTGGGTTACCAACTTTTTTTCTGTCAAATATAGTATTTTCGAAATTTTTACCTCTAAAAATATAGTAGATATATTGTTTTAAACTTTCATGATCACTAACATTGCTGAAATATTGGAGACTCATAAAAAACAAGGTACATGGTAACAATCCCGTTAATAGCTATAAAATATAGTAGATGGCAAAAAATGGGGGAAAAATAGTATATGGTTAAAATATTTACTTTATTTTCGAAATTAATATATTTTTCCTACTACATGCATAAATTATTACTTTTTTTTATTTTTAAGAAAGCTTTCACTGGCACAAGTCTGCTTTAAGCGAAATATATTAGTTTCGCCTACTATATGTATTTTTTAGAAATATAGTATTTGTTCCCCTAATATAGTAGGATACTATATTATATATTAGGGCTGGCAACCCTAGTTGGGAGTGGTAGCCGAGAAAACGTTTATGAGTCACCAGGCCACCAGCTCCCTGTGGAAAGGACCTTCTGGTCTCCCCACTCGGGCGGAAGAAGCGCCTAGTCACGTGAGTTTTATTTTTTCGGGGACATCCCCGTACTTTGTCCTATCCGGTCGGTTGTTCGGGGGACCTTTTGTACGCGGTACTTCAAATCCGTCGTGCGCGTTCTAAACGATCTATTTTAGCGGACAAAATTTCATCGTCTGCGCAGGCTATAACACTTACATTAAAATAATTATAATATACAATTATGTATTTGCTCACATTTTACTGTTTTGGAAGGTTTATAATTTTGAACGTCTTAAATGTTAAATTTGCAAATTACTCAGCAAATTTAATATTTTAGTCATCCAAAAATAGTATTTTAGTCTAGACTTGGAATATTGTAATGATTGTATAGTTTAGTACGAAGTAGATTTTAACGATCACGCTTTTTTCACAAAATTAAGTAAAACGACCAATGTATAATTCAGAACTACCTACCAGACTACCCTTTACTGCCAAAAGTAATTCAGTATGACAAAAAAGCATTTAGCTATCTACTTTAATCTTGGCTATTAGCCAAATAATATTTCATTAAATGACTTCTGCAAAAGGTTGCAGCAATTTGCTAAAAGATTGTACATACAACGTAACAAGCGCTTTTATATGTTTTATTACTGGTAAATGATTCAATAAACTGATGTTTAAATTAATAAATTATGATTATTATTCTATTAGTCCTATCCACTCCTGAGTGTAGTCTTACAAAGCCTTTGCCCTTATTAAAAAACGTGGACTGTAGTTAGACACATTGACATCATTGGTCATCAAATTTAATGGCTCGATTACACTTGCCTTTCTTTTTCGTCTTTCGCTCACTATCGAGTGCACGAAAGGCATAATTCAAATTCGGGCACCTGAAGCAATAGTTACACTGGAGGACGGTGTCGGGAAACCAAAACGAAAAATACCCGAATACGGGCTCATTAATATATATATCAATACTCGACTCTGTTCATTTACACCTACAGCCGATCTCAATATTCAATCTATAATCTTAGATTAAAATCAATCCTAGATTGTTCATAAACTATGGAATCGATCTGTGATCCACGTTGCAATATCAAGGAGGTTTCAGAATCTGCCAGTGACAACAACTGTTTACAGATTAATCCGTTCCTCTACAATGGTCTGATTCTGGCATGATTATCAAAACTTGACAATAGTCTCTCCTTTTCATTCTGTATAGAGGATGACAAGGATATACTCTTGAAAATGTAAATTTCGGTTTAGAATTATGCTACAATTGAGCCCGATGTTTCTTCATTTGTGACATATCTATGGGCGTAACATTGGAGACTTGTGATGTCATTGTATAAATAAATAATAATCTATACACAAAATATTTTAATATACAAAATAAATCCCTGCGCCACGCTCTATCCCTCATAAACTAATATCTTCCTAACGTCGAGCAGTATTTTTCCAAACCAATGCTGAAAGGACATCGACGAAATCGGCCCTATCATGCCCAAAACAATGTCCTTCACTATTATTTTTTTAACTTATTAGCAATTAATCATAGTTAACGGACAATCTGTTTAAAAAAAATTAAAAATAAAAGTTCTGTTACTAGATACTACAGTCTGTTCATCCAACTTGGCACTCCTTTTTATTGAAAATACATACTACAGGTAGGAATAGGTATCATAGGTGCCAACTGACCACACTCATAAATCAATATGAATATAAGCATTTATAATTTTTATTATTAATTACATTGTATGTATTATTTAAGTGCTTACATAGAGGTAAACACTAAATCTATTCAGAATATATAAAGTGTACATCTTTTACGATTAAATATAATAATTATAACCTCAAAATCTAATGCATTCTGTAGTAGTCCACGGTTCCTCAACTTGTCCGTATCTCAACAAATGCTTAATTAGAGTTTATGAATGATTCCGAACACAACTAGCATTTTCTCATTGCTAGGCGTCCTAGGGCATTCAATGTATGGGGAACGAGCAATGTCCTTTATGATAATCCGCCAAAACCAAGGGATAGAAAAAACGCTAGTTGTGACAAATCGTCTGTCAAAAACAGCAATTTGCATATTGAAACACCGAAGCTGCCATATTCATACGAAAATCAATGTTCAGCTGCGGATAAGTCCTCTCATGGATAGTTTACATTGATGGATCAAAGATTCAAACCAAAGTTTGATAAAACGTTTTTAGCAATCCAAAAATTAAAAATTCAATCTGCGATTGGAGTTTTCGGATTGAGATTTAATATTGGAATCGGCCGTTAATCGTTTACCCGAATTTCATTGACAATCGTATTCGGGCACACGACAAGTGTAATCGCTCCATAATGCTGTCACTATTAGCGACAGTACAGAATTAGACGCTTAGACGTCCGATTCTGGCAAGGGCGGATCCAGCTTTGGCGCCCCCCCTGGCGCCATACATCATAGGTCATATAGTCGTGGTCAAGTCACAGTGGGTAAAGATTGTGTAGTACAGATTGTGATGTGGGTACAGATGGACCCAGTCCAGGGGGGGGGGTCATGACCCCCGTGACCCCCCCTCTGGATCCGCCCTTGGATTCTGGCTTTGATTCTCTAAACTTGAAGCTATACTTATATTAGCTATACTAAACTTGAATAAGTAGGGGAGGCCAAACAGGGATTTTCGGATTTACTCGAGCGCGGCAGGACTCGGGTATGCCACCCCATAGGGTGGCAGTATTTCACAAGGTGCAAGGTTGCCCCCATGTTATTCTGCCGCGCTATGGCCGCGCTTGAGTAAACCCCTAAATCCCCGCTTGGGCTTTCACAATTATTTTGTTATTAGGAACATAAGAAAAATATCGTATTTGTCATGCTGTATATCTATAGAGAATAAAAGAAAAGATCATAGTTAGAATGGGATGTCACTATATATAGCACATAGCGACATCTCTTTCTAACTGTACTCAAGTAAAGATCAATACTTAGTTGTCATTCTGTAATACGAGCCTTAGATTAAAGGAAGGACACGAAGGAATAAACGATTTGTATGCATTAAGTAAAGCGGGCCGCACACCAGAAATACAACTGTATTACGATAATAGGGATGATGACTAATTTTTTTTCTATTATCAAAAAGTATTGGACTCGTATTTTTTCTTTTTTCACACAATATAAATATTGCAGAGATATATTGATTTGAAAAGTCGCATGACGTCACGTTTTTTGGTACAATTTTCACTTAAAAGGGACGTCACGACCCCTACTCCCAAACTTTGACGTGCTATAACTTGTTTGGTTATTGCCCAAAGAAAAAATACGTGGCCATTATTTTTTGATCATCTAACTGACGTACTAAATAGAATTTCGTTTACTGTACCCCGTAATCACCCCTATTGTGGCGCTACATTTAAAATGAAACACATTGAACGCCCTCATATCTGCGTGTAAGCACGTATAGCAAGAACACATTTGTAGGGGGTGCATTCTCAGAGCATAAATGTATCATGCATATTGTGGCAATGTAAATATTGTGGCCGGTGTGCGGCCTCACTAAAAAAAAATAAAAATAAAAAGACGTTTTTAAATATTTGGTTTCATGCTATCACTTTTTGTGGGATAACAATAGAATGAGACAGCACATGATTTAATCAAGTATTAAAATAGTTTTAATTTTATGTTTCTGCGTAACATCAAGGTACATCTAAAAGAGAAGTCAGTTTTATTAATAATTAAAAAACTTCTATTATTAATATAATTAATTTGTATAATCAATATTTTTACAAAGACAGCGTAAACCATAATTTTATTGCTTAAATTCCATGAGATGTCCAATGCGATCCACTTCGTTCAGATCACCTGCGCAGGCGGCGACACCAGATCGATCTCTCTGCCGACACGACGCGGCGTCACGATGTAACCTGGTAAATAAACATCATAATCATCAGCCTATTAATGTCCCCACTGCTGGGGCAAAGACCTTCCCTATGGGATGGAATAGGGAGATTGGGCCATGACCCAGCACTCGGGCCGTGCGGATTGGCGGGTGCTAACTACTGCAGATGCTTGCAAAATGCAAATTCCATGTTCCGACATGAACAAATTATCCTTAAAAAGAGATGCAAACTTTTTTCTTCACCGAAAACTTAAAATCTGACATACCAATTTTTTGGGAACAAGAAGAAATTGTGACTCAGCTCAGAAGAAATTAGACAGCCGTATTACAGGAAGTCGCTGATATTCTGCCACAACCTTATTTAACTAATACCTGCATTATTTTGTGATACCAACAAGTTAAACTTTGAAAAGCGATAAAAAATTAATACATCCATTATTAAAATTCTAAATTAAATACAGTTTTGGTCGCAGTATACTGTTTTTCTAATAACCAATAATTTTTTACCACGTACGACAAAACTGTGGAATATGTTGTCGCCAGCAGTGTTTCCGGACCAATACGACCCAAAAAACTTCAAAAAAAGAGCGTACTCCTTCCTTAAAGGCCGGCATCGCATTTGTGATACTCCTGGTGTTGCAAGTGTCCATGGGCGACGGTGATCACTTACCATCAGGTGAGCCGTCTGCTCGTATGCCCCCTATAACATAAAAAAAATAAAACACAATTTATTTTTAAACATAAATGTTGTCATTGAAATGTTAGCCCGCAAAAGCGGTGGTAGATAATTCCATATCTTTGATGCGGCATATACAAAGCAACCCCTAGTTACAAGATTTAAAAAATAATATAATGATAATGTTGATTGATCGTACCTTCATTGAGTTTCTTGAATTCTGTCCAGTCGTTGTCGCGGTACGTAAATATGGCCTCCTTGTAGTTGCCATAACCGTCACACTCCACGTCGGAACCAGTACGGCATTTCTCGCGAGCGCAGTCTGTGCAAAACATTCGCTTAATTGATGAACCGCATTTTGTGGATTCCGTGACAATGGAACAGTTTTAAAGCAGCCGACCTCCGTGGCCGAGTGGGATGTACGCCTGGTTTCAAGGTGTCACTTACCGGGTTCGAATCCCGATGGGGAAAATGTAAGTACGATGAATACGAGCATTTGTACCTAAGTAAGTATATTTATATTTCTATCTATCCGTTAACCTATTATCACATAACACAAGCATTACAATGGTTACTTTAGGGCTAGCCTAATTGAGGCCATGAGAACCATAGTGGCCTAACTCATTTTTTTACAATATTGAGTTTACCATTTTTATTTTTTCTAGTTCAAATTGATCATTTTGATAGAACCAGAGTAGAATGGCAGCATAATCACTTACGGTTTTTAGTCTGTGATCTAAATTTAAGGTGCCATACTGGCCTAAGTAAGATAGGCCACTATGGTTGAAAAATGAGTTGGGCCACTATGGTTCTCATGGCTTCAATTGGTGTAAATAAAAGCACGGAGGAACACATATTAAACTCAACATGATGAACTTGACTAGCTTATCCACTTCATTCGAATGACGATCTCGCTACTGAGATTGTTATAAGCTTTATAATTTGTTGTGATCCATTAGCCTATAATTAATGTCCCCACTACTGGTACACACGTCTTCCCTTTAGCTGGAATAGAAAGGCCATGCCTCATGGCCCATGGTCAAAACAAGGAGACCGGATCATAACCCACGTGAACTCACTATTAAAACTTTATTAAATTGCAACTACAACCGAGAGCTTAGCGTCCTTTCCAAAGCACGGTTGTAACATAATTACTAAATATAGTCTTAGTCTTAGTAGAATGGAGGGCTGTTTCCGCAACTCGACACCCAGTGCCTATTTTGCGTGGAGATTGGCATCAGTCCTGCCATCCCAGCTCCTCCAGAAAGCTCAGCAGTCCCCGAATGTTACTGCAGGCCTCTACTATTGTCTTCGGGCTTCCCATTAGAGAAGTCCTTTGTCTTGCAACGCCCCTGCACGTCAGCAGCACATGGGCGCTCGACTCCTCGTCCTTCAGACAGGCTCTGCACGGAGGGCTGTCAGAAATACCTATATTACAAAGGTGTTTGTTGAAGTAGCCGTGACCCGTGAGTATACCCACGATTTGTCTTAGGGCTTGTCTAGGAAGTGTGAATAACTTACGTGTTAGCTGCAGGTTTACCTTGGGAACGGCTTCGCTAGCTTGCCTGCAGTCCGTAGTTTTGTCCAGTATTTGTGATGTTGTCGTTGACAGCGCTCCTTATCCAGGTTCGCTGTTAATATGTTAGCAAAAATGTTCACCACAGTTCATGTTGGAGACTTCCACCCTGGGCACTTTGATCCCCTGTATGATGGTACCGTCTTCTAGAGCGCAGTAACATACGAATTTGCGACACTGCAATAGAAACGTATAATATTATATCTAAAGAAAAGTTGCCAATGCTGTTCCTTAACTTTTAAGACGATCGGGAATGCTTTCATTCTGATATGGATAACTGATGTAAAGATTAAAAAAAATGGTAATTTTGAATTATTGTACAGGCAACCCCATGCTCTATGGTCTGATCTGGAGAAGGGGGTGTTTACTACCTTTTGAAAGGCAAACGCGGGACGAACCAGTCCTGCGTCGCTCCCCCTCCTGGGGGACGATTGCTTCCGATGAAGCCTTAGAGGCCTTCCCGGCCAGAGGCAGCCCCTATAGATGTTTTTTAGTCAGTACGAGTCTGACATAACCTTGCAGCCGGCTGTAGGGTATCCATGAGGATTTCTAGGATTTCTCACCCGCCTCCCGCCTGGGGAGGAAACAAAAAAAAAACGAACCAGTTACTTCTGTTCGAGCCTAATAATAAGGAGTGAGGACTGTTTTAGCGGGATCGGAAAGCGTCACTTTAGCAGTTTTGTTTTTTTTGTTAAAAATTGTGTTGTAGCGGATGTTAGTGTCTAAAAATGGTGGATTATTAAACCACTAAGTGTTCGGGAACATGCACAAGTGTTCGCATGTGAAACAAAATAGCGGACAGTGTCTTTCGACGTTTACTCAAGAAGTCCACGGGGAGGTTCTAGTAAATCCCCACACATTTACTAAAACATAGGGAAAGGGGGATTGACTTGACTGCCACTTACTTTGACTTGATTTATTACTTTGACCACGAGTGCTATAGAATTTGTAAACATTTTAACACTTGACATTGGCTAAATGCACAAGCCGTGCGAAGCCATTTAGGAAAAAAAAATAAGGAATGACTCTGCTCGTTTGTTAATAGATATAATATAATGAAGTGCTATAGTGATAAATGTAATTAAATAACAGTGAGATTATTTACAAGTGTATATTATTTCAATACTATTTTATTTTTATTTTAGACATTTAACTGATCACGTTCGATTCTAATAGAAAAAAAAACCACGCGGTCCATTCAGCACACGGGACTTGAATTAGCACCGTTCACTGTCCGGACCAAGATTCTAGCGTATCGTAGGCTGCAAGGCAGCGCTATCTCTTGTTTAAGTATAACTGCAAGATTTCTATGACTAACGATTTTTTAACATATTTATTTATTTTGGTTACATGGAAGACCAACAGCTTATCTTAATATACTAGAAATGAATAGTAGCGACAAGGAGCCAATTACAGGTCCTCACATCTAGACATAACTTAAAGTTATAAAGAAACTATTTGCACTGTCCAATGAAAAAAATCTCTTAAATATAGTTTTATAAATGAGGTACTTATGATAAATCACAGAATAACAAATTACGCACATGTTAAGTACATACACTTGTCTATGGAATTAAAGTTTGGAATAACTGTTTATTATTATTATAATAGTAGCAAACCAGTGAACCAAATGTTCACCAAAACCTGATTTCTCGAAAACCGGAAGTGCTACGTTACTCAAATCCGGTTTGTAGTCTTATCAGACTATTCTTAACTTATAACTTAAATATTCTCTTTATCTATCTCTTACGGTTTGGCCGCTGAAACAGCACCACAGACAGACGAACGGACTTGTCTAATAGATAAGAGATTAATTATAATCTCCAAAAAACAAACGAGCAATGATACGTCTAATCGACGCCTCACTAGTGTTAAAAAGATCTAAATTTACCTGTTTTATAATAAATTTAATAAATTCAACTCTACGTTTACCGAGTCGTGGTCTCCACTCAATAACTTTCCGGCTCCAACGGCCATCAACTCTCGGTAAACGTAGTGTAGGACGCCCTGAGACAAGATGGGATGATGATATTCGTAGGCTGGCTGGAGTGGGCTGGATGAGAGTAGCACAAAATCGGGAGCAGTGGCGTGCATTAGGGGAGACTTATGTCCAGCAGTAGACGAACATGGGTTGATGATGATGATGACGTGATGATGATGAAATTCAACTCATCCCGAATGCCAGATCGAAATTGAACCAGCAAATTTTTATCCACCTTCATCAGGGTGAACACATACATAGCCTTTCGATCAGCCTCTAAGGGAGGTTCTAAATTCTAGTTCTAGAAAAAATCCTTAAAACATCAGCACTAGACTGGACTCTTAAGTTGTTACCTGCACTGGAGCGTACAACCACAGGGGCGTGCACTGCGGCGCGTCGAAATGTAGATGCCCATCGTGACCGTATTTCTTCTTGAAATACTTCAGTTCGCGTTTGCAAGGCTCTACAAAAAACATCAAATATTTGTAAACAACCAACTTCGGAAAGCAGACAATCTTTCTAACTATAATGCCATTAATAAACCAATCCTTTACGCCTAATTCAATTCAAATCATTTATTTCAGAACTAGGTTCCATAGTGTTAGTTACATTTGATTTATTTATAAATCTCCGACCTCCGTGGTCGAGTGGTTTGTACGCCGGGTTTCATGGTGTCACCGACTCGAGAGGTCCAAATCCCGGTGGGGGCAGAAGTTTGTGTGATGAATACGAGCATTTGTACTCCACTCATGGATGCTTAATATGTATTTCTATATAAATCTACTTATATATGTACAGTATATGTATTCTATCCGTTACCCTAGTATCTAATAACACAAGCCTTACAGTGCTTACTTTGGGCCTAGGCTAATTGGTGTGAGTGTTGGAAATATTTATTTATTTATTGAAGTTATACTTCTTTAGGCGCGTTCTGAAAAATTGTTGAGAGTGAAATTTTAAGATGCGCGCGCATCATGTAACACAAAAAATTAACACCATGAAGTTGGTCGCTTTAGCGACCAACTTCATTTGCCGTGCTGCCATTACCGCGTCGCCCGCCGCACCGTACGCATGCGCGGCCACTCGCGGTCCTAGCGCGGGAAACACGTGCAACAAACATCGGGAAAAGTTACGAGTTTTGAATTTAGAACAGAGACTGTTTTCATATCTATATATATAAAAATGAAACCCGTTTTCCGTTGTGACGACATAACATGAAAACGGCTTGACCGATTTGGCTGTTTTTTTTTTGTAGTTTTCTAATACTCTGTACAAGGTTCTTACGGAAAAAAATATAAAGAAAATCCCAAGGGAAATATAACTAGAAAAAATTTCCCGCGGACCAGGCAGCAGACGGGACTCGAACCCGCACCCTTCGCAATCCGGGCGAATGCACTGACCAATTATGCTACCGCGGCCCTCACGGACCGCGTCGAAATTCTTTCTAGCTATAGCAATTATAAGAAATAGCAATTATAGTTAAAAAATTTTTTTTAATTTTTTTTAACTATAATTGCTATTTCTTCTTTCAAATGTTTAATACTTGTAAAAGTATTCATTTGACATTGTGGGTTTATCTATAATGCGAAGAGATGGCGCTGCCTTGCAGCTTAAGAATAGCTAGAAAGAATTTCGACGCGGTCCGTGAGGGCCGCGGTAGCATAATTGGTCAGTGCATTCGCCCGGATTGCGAAGGGTGCGGGTTCGAGTCCCGTCTGCTGCCTGGTCCGCGGGAAATTTTTTCTAGTTATATTTTCTTTAGATTTAAACATCAAGCAGTTACATGCTTTAAAAATAATAAAAATTTTAAATCCCAAGGGGATAAAATAAGGAATGAAAGTTTGTATGAAACTTTATCAATTTTAAACCGATCGGGCTGAGACTTTGCATGCAGGTATAAGAAGAATCATAGATGAATGTCATTGTGTATAATAGAAGCCTGAGAACAAAAACTGTAGTCTACACTTCAGCTCTACACCGAAGCGAAGCGAGGGCGGGCCGCTAGTTTATAATATTTATCCACATGTTTCTAGTTTGTATATTCGGAATACGTGTTTGAGTTTCATACAAGTGCAAATCACATATGTTCTAATAAATTATATTCAGTAGCGATTTTAATTGAATATTTTGATTATTTATTTATTTTTTCAAATTAAAACTGAACTTTATTGACTGTGTCCTTTTCCAGACTTTTTATTAATTTATTGTAATTAATTATTTGCATGCAATTAAAAACTAATTTTAAACGATGCCAAAGAAGGATAACTTCTCACGCGCCTACATAAGTACACGCACCCATTTTTTAAAATATGTTAGTATAATAGAGAATTATATAAAATATTACTATAGGATATGGAGCTTCACCCAGTGTCGTAGCAGAGGAGTGTCCTAACGGTCATTAAATACTCTCAGGAGGCTGTTGGTACTAGAGCGGAGCCTAGTGAGCATGGAAGCGGACCTGTTTCTTATAATGGCATAAATGTCGTCCGTATGCGCCTCCGCAAACATTTTTGACGCGCTGCAACTCCACGACATTCTCAAAATTATCCTGAAGGCATTGTTATCAATATAACAATGCCTACCACAACCTAACCCAATGTATCTGCACGAATGATGCCTATGCCTAACCCAATGTATCTGCACGAATGATTGGCAGTAAGTCTTAAAAAGAGTGATCTTTACTACATCCGTACACCGTGCAAATCTTCGGGCCAGCATATTACATTGCACAGCCAACAACCTCCGCTCTCTCTCTATGTCGATGTTGTCCTTGAGATCCTCAGTGACCCAAGTACTTAAATACTTAAACACCATCGTCTTAATGGGGCGTATTTACCATAGGGCCGATAGGAGCCAAGTCCCAGGGAGTAAGACTGCGAGGGGTGACTGCAAGAGCTGTGAGGGGTGGCAGCAGCCATACAAAGGCATTCGTTAGTGAACTATATTTTGATGATTTTGATTTGATTCAGAAATTCAAATGGCAAATCGTAAATGGCCCGGGACGCCAGATTTCAAAATACCCCCTGATAATAATGCAGAAGCAGAAAGCATCTCTGTCTCTATGTCAGTAACATCCTCTTATGTTCGAACCATGTCATGTGCATTGGCCTGGCATGACAATACATGAATGAGTACTTCGTCGCCATAGACAAAGAATAGACTGAGCGTTCCCTGCAGATACGTACAGTGTAGGATACTAAGCCAACTATGTAGTCACCATTAGCATTCTCTAAATATTCTCGCCCTTCTCCCTCCATCCTCCGTTAGCTGACTTCACCACATGGATATTCTAAAAGCCCTACATAAAAGAGGGATAACTGTCTGATACTCTCCACCCCCCTTATTAATAATCGAAGAATGTTTCGTCTCTGTTCATTAAATTACAAATGGCATTTGTTTGACATGAAAAAAACACGGCGTAAGTTTTATAAGCATATACCTCGTTTTTTTATTAAGGCATAAGCATTGTCTATATTCTCATCCTTTTTTCTCCGGCGCGGCCTCCGTCAGCTGACTGCACCACTTGGATATCATAAAAGTGACAGCCCAGCCCACAATAAAAGAGGGATAATAATTGATAAGCCATATACCATGAGCGTTGTCCATATTCTCATCCCTTTTCCTCCGCCCTCCATCAGCTGACTGCACCACGTGGATGTCCTGGCACTTGCCTTGTCGGCAAACCAGCCCGTCATCGCAGCCTGGCTCGAGGAATTCCTCCTCTACCTGAAGACAAAACTTATTTTCTCACACAGATTTTAAACAAACAAACAATATATTAACTGTCGACCGATTCCAATCAAATCCATTTGTTGACAGACGCCTAATCGCCAGCGAGCATCATCTAATAATAATCAGAATCAGATACTTATACCCTGATTATTAAGTATAAGTATATAAGTAGATACCTCGATCTCTTTTGTGCCGTTTTCTTCGTGAATTTTTTTCTTATATTCAGCACATTTCTGATTAAGTTCTGCAATAAAAAAACATTACATAATGTTTGGTATTAGAAAAGATAAAAGATAAACTAAAGAACTACACTATTACTAAGCAACTTTTGAAATGGCCGATCATAACAGGTGTGACCAAATATTTACTACTTCTCTGAGCTCCGGAAAGTATTTTAGCTGTTGGTCCTGGCTGCAGTTTGTGGTGGTGTTGGTGGAGTCGTTAGCACCCACCAATATTCATTGAGCTCCCCCTTGTCGTTCTCCCTATTTGATCCTGTCTGTAGAGAACACCAGTAAACAAAAGTGTTTATTAGGCAGATGATAATAATCATCATCTCTCAGGGAGACTAAGCAATGCTGCGCTGCGCTATGCTGTTTTCAGTGAATCTCCACTTAAGATTATAAAGAAGAGTAAACAATACTTTTTGCTGTGCTTTGTGCGGATATCTATGCCATATTTCTAAGTTGAGCACAGCACAGCTCAATGTTGATTGGTGTGATGACCTTTAGTGTATTAACGTCCTGATCGAGAGTCGGCAGCGGTGAAACGAGTGTAGTTGAACAATATCGTTACAATTTCAAACGAGCAATTCAAAATTAGGCCTTCAGGTCGTAAACTTACGCTGGTAAGCGCTGCACAGTCCGTAGCAGTTGCACGTACTCTTGTAAGGCAGGAAGGAGTTGGTAAGCAGTCCTCCACACTATACTTTCGACTCTCTTACACTTATCTTCCCACTTTACACTACTTTTGATGGTATTGTTTCTGTAGGTGAGGAAGATTCCAGGGTTGCACGGGGTTGGGGTAAGCAATGGCTCGAATGATAGCTTCGGTTTCGCAAGCCTCTATCTCTATAGGCTATGGTAGTCATACTCATGATTGCCACTCTTTTAATTAAAAAAAATATTGTCAGAGCAAGCGCATATTGAGCCACTAAACGCCGTTAGTAGCTTAGTGGCGGCCACTCGAATGCTTAGTTTGCGCCGATGAAACTGACCGACAAAATGCATGAAAAATGTGGACGGTTTTTTTAATGCATAAAAGGCAAGGCGTTTGACCACAATCTCGCCTGATGGAAAGCGATGATGAGGCCTAGTATGGTACATGTCTGCCTAGAAGATGCCTGTTTACTCTGGCCTTGAAGATGTTCAAATTATATTGGTCTGGGAAAACAGACCTTGGCAAGGAATTCCACTCCCTAGCCATTCGCATAATGAAAGCGGAAGCAAATCGCTTCGTGCGGATGGGAGGAACTTCGACAACATAAGGGTGAAAGCCCTCGTTTAGTGACCGCCACTAGTGGTTCATTGCGCGCTTGCTCTTAGTTAGGGAACGCGTCTAACTATGTCTCTATGACTATTATACACTTACGTTGGTATGCGCTGCACCATTCGCAGCAGTTGCAAGTGTTCTTATTAGGCAGGAAGGCGTCCTCACTGTATCTCTTCGTCTCTGTCATACTTAATTGCCCATTTTTGTTTGGACAGTTGGTTAAGGGAACGCATCTATGTGTATGATAAACTCACGCTGGTAAGCGCTGCATCGTCCGCAGCAGTTGCACGTACTCTTGTCAGGCAGGAAGGCGCCGGCGGCGCACTGATCCTCGCGTGCAAGCGGCTCACAATTAAACCCGCGGCAGCTCACCGGGCACTCAGAGCCGTCTGTGGGCGCCTGGTAGCGGTAGCTGCGGCGTCTGTAGAATACGAATCAAACTTCATGGAGATTGTGAAGTTAGCAGCGAGCGAGGTTCCACTTTAGTGTCATTCCTCGCGCGTCTTCAGCATCCGTTGCGCCGTGACTTATTCTAACTTTCCACACTTGGCACAGTCGCCATTATCTTTGAATCGAATTGTACTTAACACCGTGATTACACCGGCAGAACATTGATACGAAGCCGCAAAAACGGCGAGCGTGTATGAAGAGTAATGAATGTAAATGAAGCAGAAGAAATATTTACGGCGTGTGCCTTATGGCGCTCTATCCTCTTTGCCTAATCCACCCAGGAGATAGACGGCGTGAAGACAGATGGATAACATTGATTAGAATGTGGAAAAGGAAGAAGGGCGCGCACTGCTCTTCGCGCGCGAGCGAATCGCAGCTAAAAACACGGCAGCTCACCAGGCACTCATAGCTGTCTGTGGGAGCCTCTCGTAGCGATAGCTGCGGCGACTGTAGAACAATGATAAGATGCTGGAAAACCCGGCGAGCATGGGTCAGTGGCATATAATACTCCAGCCCGTCTGTGTGGTATCGGTAGCTACGGCGACTGAACGAACGCAACACTGTGATTATACTGACAGAACATTGATATATCCTTGTTGGATTGGAAGGATCGATTCGCAGCATTACTAATGTCCTTTCCTTTCTAGGTAGGAAGGCGACCCCAGCGGCTCGCACCTGAAGTCCCGGCAGCTCACCGGGCACTCAGAGCCATCTGTTGGGGCGGGGGCATCGTAAGGTAGTTGCGGCGACTGTACGCAACACCATGTATAACCAAGTCAAATCAGATAAAGTAACCGTCATCGCTCAAAGGATTGCTCTACTGTGGCGACCGACAGAACAGTAGACTGTCAAACTAAAGCCGATTTGTGGAGGCTCGCATCTGGAGCAGCGGCAGCTCGTCTGTGGGCGCCTCGTAACGGTGTCTGCGGCGACTGTACGCAACACCAGAATTATACTGATTGAACAATGATGAGAGTGTTACTAGGTAGGAAGGAGTGGCTCGCAGCTGAACCAGGCATCGTCATACCGACAAAACATAAAAAATGCCCTAAAAGAATTGCAAGAATCGGTTAATCATTTTTTCGTATGTTGTAGAACATATTGTAAACAATTTGAAATTAATACTGCCAGACACATTTTGTCAGCAGTATTTATTGCCAGACACTTTAAAACTTATTATCTCGAGTTCCTCCATGCTTCAGAAGGCATGTTAAGCCGTTGATCCCGACTGCATCTGCAGTCGTTAGCACCCACCAATCCGCACTGGCCCGCTTGGTGGGCCACGGCCCAGTCTCCCCATTCCATCCATAGGTAAGGCCTGTGGCCCTGAAGTTCTTTTTTTATTTATTTGTATTCAGGCATCGTAGGTCCACAAAAATATATAATCTAACATTAATATGAAATATAATACATTATCACAATTCTAAATTTTAAGTAACACGTTTAGTCGGCGACGATGGTGCGGAGTTGTTATAGGTAGCCTGCCTTTGAAACGCAGGAACACCACACATTTCGGCCTAAGCTCCTCTTTCAACTAGTGTGCCACAAAGGAACAAACATACATATATAGACTGTTAAGCACTATACCCTGTCTGCGCGTCGCGCTTCGCGCTCTTGCATTGCGCAGTCGGGTAAAAAGGTCGCCAGATGTTCAGACGGCACTCTCATCATAAATGAATTAAAATTCACGTCGTGGCGAGACTCCCACCGCCCGACCCTCAGGGAGAAATTGGTCTTCGTACGCAAATACTCTGCGATCTCCTCCGCCTTCGTGGTGTAATGTAAGCGAGATACACAACAAGGTCACAGGTATCGCTGGACGCAGCAGGTTATTCGGTCCGGTCGGGGCGACAACGCACAGATTGCGGCGAGCGGGTTTCCTCTTCTTTCTCTCCACCGTGATGAAACCCTCTTTATCACAATCACGGTTTCGTGATTCCGCCGGAGTTTCACGAGGAATAAAATTCAAAAAAATCAAAATTCAATATCGTTTATTCAGTCTAGGCTGTTACAAGCATACGCCATCGGTTCGAAAATCTTGTACTAAGAAGAACCGGCAAGAAACTCAGCAAGGGCTGATTTTTTCTCCCTTTCTATGTAACAATAGACAATCAATGAATTTACTAACAATAAGTGCAAAGAAAAGTCCCAAAATAGCAAGAAACAATTTTCAAAACAAAATGAACAAGTATATGAAAGGGAGTAAGTGCAAGGTTCTCTTCAAAACTCTTTCCAAGGCTGGGAGCCTTAGTTCTAATTTAACTTTTGAAAAATTATCTACAGGTAAAATTACAACCAAGCTGTTTTATCATTCAAATATTGATTGACAGTATAATATCCTTTCTTAAGTATGCAATTCTTAAAGTGTATTTTAAATTTATTAGAAGGAAAATATATCTTGACAACTGTTCTTCGCAGTGGGGACATTAATAGGCTAATGATGATTATGATGAAGTACGAGTAAAATTATAACGATGATGATAATGTGCCTGTACAGTGTTTGAAACTACAATAATATGGCATTTGAATACATACATATTCAGTGTTTCCATAGGTATTGTTGGTATGGATACAGGAACACCTGGAATTATTACTAAATATTATTTTATGCTTCGTTTAGCTTGCGTAATGCGAATCTGTAAAGCCTGAAGTTTATTTTTACGATTAATATTATGAATTATTGTTTTAAACTTTCATGGTCACTAACATTATAACTATTAACGGGATTGTTACCATGTACCTTGTTTTTTATGAGTCTCCGATCTTTCGGCACTGTTGCAAGCGCCATGACCACGTAGTAACTGAAGTAATTGCGGGTAGATGTTATTGGCAGACATATCGTCCTTTACTGCGCTTGATACCCCTACAATTGGTCACATTCTCACTATTCACTTGCTCCTGTTCCCGACACACAATACACGATCTGATACTGTGAGTATTGTGTGTCGGGAACAGGTGCTCCGTGATCATGGCGCTTGCAACAGTGCCGAAATATCGGAGACTCATAAAAAACAAGGTACATGATAACAATCCCGTTAAAAGCTATAATAATATTATGAAGGCTGCAACTTACATCTGCGCAAGATTTTGTCGCATTTCAGTGATCGGAGCTCCTGCTCCGGATGACCCCAGTATGGATTGCAGCCGGCCCTAAAATCTATAAGAAATATAAATATAAACTGTTAAAATTTGCAATGTCCCAAGAATCTTCTATAGGTCATGAATAATGATTTAACAGAGAACATCTCGACGGATTTTTCTGATTCCCGGTTTATTGATTCACTTTATTTTCCAAACATTTGTGACACGTGACAAGAATAAGTGAAATATATTTCCAACCTTATTCTTGTCACATCAATTGAAGAACACATATTATATCGATTCAATAAGAATGGAGTTCTGTCTTCTTTGAAGGTATTAAGGTCTTAACTAGGGCTTTCAGTATCGGACCAGTTGTGAGTAACGGGACTGAAAAAATGATACTTGTCACGGTCTCGAAAACCCGGGAAAAACGAGACTTTCGAGACGAGACAGTTAGTAATTTTTCATTAATCCCTTTTACCCTACGCTTTAGTAAATTCAAGTTTTTTGAGATGTCTACACTTCCCTTTTCTAAAATTGTGAGTGGGGTAATTGTAGCTCCAATGGATTTATTTAATATTATTTTTTATTTTATTGTGACAGTGCTCTGATATATTATAAGGCACTGCCACAGTTTCTATTCGTATTATATGGTTATCCAAAGTTATCGAACTACATTTCTCTGCACTAATTGTAAATGGAAAAACATACATTTACCCCTGATGATACTTTCCGAGAAAAAACTCCCTGATCAGCGGGAGATACGGAAAAGGTTCAAAACCTCGACTACATAATTCACGACGCAATGGGACGACGATATAGAAGAATACAAATTTGATACAGGTAAACAAGAATGTAATAATGTATATTAACGGAATAGCATTATATTAACCCAGAGAAGATATCAAGCGCTGTAAGTAACTAAGAAAATCGAAACGACGAGTTTGCAAATTTACACAACGCCCTGTGATGATTTTACTATTCAGTAATAGTCTCGAGTCTCGATATTCCCGGGACTTTGTAGGTTAGTCTCGAGTCTCGAAATAACCAAAATTTTCCCGATATTCTCGAAATTTTCGAGACCGAGATTCCCGGGGTGAAAGCCCTAGTCGTAACAGGTCGAGAACATCGCTAGAGACAATGATGTCGATTCTGGCATGATTCTCTAAAGCTAAACTTAAATTTGACAACAGTGCATCCTTGTCCTTCTCTATACAGAATGAAAAGGTGAGACTGACCTTAAATTTAGTTTTAAGTTTAGAGAATCACGCCAGAATTGACACCAATATTGATTTCACAGCCCTATATCAACGTCAATCTAAAAATGACATTCGATTCGCACATGATCAGTGATTGGGTTTGATTGGTGATTTTTATTGGGACCAACCAACGTATCTTAAATATAATATTTGAGATTTCTCTGTTAAATCTTCGACCCTATTCAAACACTATTAAGGTGGAAACACGCAAAACTCACCGATCGTCGTGACTGGCAAAAATTCCTCGGTATCGAAATTGTATTCATCTTCCACGCAAGATTGGTCGAGTTCTGGAATATGCAATATCTTTTTACATTTGTTTTTCAATTAAGTGGGTACCAAATAAAAAATAACTGAGACTACAATATGATCGGAGGCAAGCTGAGAGGCATTTGAGAAATAGTTATTTGAAAAAACTATTGCTGTCACGCATTGGCAAATACCGTGTGATAGAGACAACAGTAGTTTACATTGAAAATTGCGTATAAATTTTGCAAAATTCGAGGTTTGGCTCTCGACGATTTCCTCCTCGAAAATTTGATATATATATATATAACAAATTTTACATAAAGAAGAATAAGCAGTTAGATTATTCCTCTATGTCTTTATTTTTTGTAAATGATTATTAAATTTCCAGAAAAGACGTCTTTAGTGGTGATAAAAAAATGATTATTTTTGGCCTATTTCGAGGGCTTCTAAGTTCTTTGAAACACAAGTTATCGAAAAAAGGAAAACATAAGAGCATAGACTGAGTAAAATTTTGTTTTATATATGAAAAAAATTTTTTTTGTATTAAAAATCAAGGAGGAATATGTCGAGAAATTAGGCTCCGCCAATCCAAAGGCGTTTTCGGACATGTGAAAATAGATAAAAAAATACTTTTCTATTTCATGATTTTTAGTAATACATATTATAAATGTTTATTTATCTCATACTTTTTTTGTCAGAATAGTGAAATCCCTCCCAATATTCAAGTCATGTTAATGCACCAGCCAACAATTGGTACTGTATTTTAACTAGCAGTACCCCGCGGTGTTACCCGCGGTTTATTGTGGATATTTTTTCCCACAGTAAAACGTTAGCCTATGTGTTAATCCAGTGTGTCAGCTAACTCCATACCAAATTTTATTAAAATCGCTCCAGCCGTTTAGACGTAAAGAAGTAACAAACATACACACTCACAAACTTTCGCCTTTATGATATTAGTGTGATAACGCATGCACAACCCCCGTCTAAGGGGATGCACCGCTGTACATGAAAATAATTATCTTTTCAACAATTTTGCTCATAAAATGCAGGTACTGTCTAATACAATAAATAAATAAATATTTCCAACACTCACACCAATTAGCCTAGCCAAAGTAAGCACTATAAGGCTTGTGTTATGGGATACTAGGGTAACGGATAGAATACATGTATATACTTTACATATATAAGTATATTTATATAGAAATACATATTAAACATCCATGACTGGAGTACAAATGCTCGTGTTCATCACACAAACATCTGCCCCCACCAGGATTCGAACCCGGGACCTCTCGAGTCGGCGACGCCATGTAACCTGGCGTACAAACCACTCGGCCACGGAGGTCGTCGAATACCCTTCTTACCTCTGTAGAAGATGCACTCGTCACAGCATCTGCACTGCGAGTAGTCGGCGGGTAGAAACATCGCCCTCCACCGGCCGTACTTCCGGTCGCAATACGTGCTGTACTCGGAGCGGTGGACACGCCTCTCCCTTATAAAAAAAATAGCAATAATAAAATAATACTAGCAAACCTGTGAACCAAATGTTCACCAAAAAAAAAAAAAGTATCTCTTATCTAATAGACAAGTCCGTCCGTCCGTCCGTGGTGCTGTTTCAGCGGCCAAACCGTAAGAGATAGATAAAGAGAATGTTTAAGTTATAAGTTAAGAATAGTCTGATAAGACTACAAACCGGATTTGAGTAACGTAGCACTTCCGGTTTTCGAGAAATCACGTGATTTCTATTTCAAACGAAACCACACAAAATCTCCGAAGTTCTCAATTAATTAAATACATTTTTTTTTTGGTGAACATTTGGTTCACTGGTTTGCTAGTTTTTAATTAATTGAGAACTTCGGAGATTTTGTGTGGTTTCGTTTGAAATAGAAATCACGTGATTTCTCGAAAACCGGAAGTGCTACGTTACTCACATCCGGTTTGTAGTCTTATCAGACTATTCTTAACTTATAACATAAACATTCTCTATATCTATCTCTTACGGTTTGGCCGCTGAAACAGCACCACGGACGGACGGACTTGTCTAATAGATAAGAGATTACGACCTCCATGACCGAGTGGTGTGCACACCAGTACCTCTAGCACTAAACAATATCGAATTCGAATAGTTTGCGAGTGCGAAACGACATTGTCAAATATGATTTCTAATTCTCGTTACGTGGCGCTGCTGTTCAAGTTTCCATACAAAATTTGACAATGACATTTTGGACTCGCAAACTAATCGAATTCGGTAATGCTTCGTGCTAGGGATACGGGTTTCAAGGTTACCTACTCGAGAGGTCTTCGAGGGTTCGAATCCCGGTGGAGGCACATGTTTGTGTGATGAATACCAGCATTTGCACTCCAGTCATGGTTGTTTAATATGTATTTCTATATAAATATGCGTATATATGTATTCTATCCGTTACCCTAGCATCCCATGACACAAGCCTTACAGTCAGTGCTTACTTTGCGGCTAGGCTAATTGGTGTGAGTGTTGGTAATATTTATTTTATTTATTAATCCGCACTAAGCGCGGTGGGTCATGGCGCAATCTTCCTATTTCATCCACGGAAAAGACCTGTGCCGCAACAGTGGAGATGTTAAAAGGATGATGATGATGATAATAGAGATACAGGAAGTTTACCTGCAAGAGTCTCTGAAGAGTTCGCATTCTGTGTGATTGTTGAAATGGGGACACTGGGGGCACACCTGGTAGTCTAGGGAACAGAAAAAGTCATAAGACGTCATATTTATTGATTCATGTTGGTTACATTTAGTTCTTAAATGTAATAACAGCTCGCAAACATAAGCTCTGCAAAGACACTGCAAATTATAATAAAAGTACACAAAATTTAATTTAAAATTTGATAAAATTACAACAGGATAAAAAAATAATAATTCATATAATACTTTAATAAATTATAAAATACATTTAGGGTTAGGTCAAGAAATGTATGTCAACAAATTTACGTCAGAAAAATCAAATCAATTAGTTTAACGTCATTAGTTTTTTAAGTAGACTGATAGTAGCACAGAATTTATAAATCATTACAAAAATTTTGGTCAGCATTCCTAATGCCACAATTGAATCGTGTGATTTTAAAACAACACACGTCACACTTTTTTGAAAATCAATTTTCTTAACGAATTTTATTCCTCAGGGATCTAGCTACTTGTTGTCAAAATACCACACATCTCCGTACTGTGTGTTGTTTTGAAAACGTGTCCCCATACATAGGGCTCAATTTTGACAGATGACATCTAAATCTAACCTCAAAATCTCTATGGCAGCGTCGAGTTTTGCTGCTAATAAATTTCATTCATAAACTTCTTAAAAGTTGTGTCATTTTAGCTGCTAGGTGTAGCTGACCCAGCGAATTTCGTACCGCCATAAAAAAGGGGTTGGTGGATTTTTAATGCCACGTTATAAAAAAATAAAATTAAAACATTTTGTCCAAAAAATAACAATAAATGTTAGGGGTAGACAACTCTAAGGGGTATGAAAAATAGATAGTAGCCGATTCTCAGACATAAAAAAAATCATAAAAATCGGTCAGGCCGTTTCGGAGGAGTATGGTAACTAACATTGTGACACGAGAATTTTATTTATATGATAGATATAAGATATTAATGATTATAACTTTTAAAACGGCACAAGCCCTAACTTATATTGTGATAAAACAACTCAAGTCACACATGTTTTCAAAACATGATTGTTGCGGACCTCTTTGCTATTTTGATAGCTGATGTAGTTTTTTACTCTTTGGTTGTTTTTTGACGTTGTCTGTTCTATTTACCTATTTCTTTCTGTTAGCTTAATTTTCTGCTTTTATTAATAAAAATATAATTCTTCAACTTGTATCATCGTTTTATCATTTGCGGAGATCAATTTGGTTTGTTCATTTCAATGATTGTCCATTTTTTTATTACCTACATCATTCACACATACCTATTCATTATATTAGAAAAAAATAACAACCTATATTATATGCTAAATGAGAAGCTTGATGGCGCAAGTGGTTAGCGCGTTCAGCTGCGATTGTTGAAGTTAAGTAACTTTCGCAATGGTCGGTCATTGGGTGGGTGATCAAAATCTTACTATCTCGAGTTCCTCCGTGCTTCGGAAGGCACGTTAAGCCGTTAGTCCCGGCTGCATCTGCAGTCGTCAGCACCCACCAATCCGCACTGGGCCTGCGTGGTGTGTCATGGCCCAATCTTCCTATTTCATCCATAGGGAAGACCTGTGCCGCAACAGTGGGGGACATTAACAGGCTGATGATGAAGATGATGCTAAAATATTACTATTGTAAAAGTTTGTCGGTATTCTAATAAAAATGGGTGCGTGTACTTATGTAGGCGCGTGCGAAGTTATCCTTCTTTGGCATCGTTTAAAATTAGTTTTTAATTGCATGCAAATAATTAATTACAATAAATTAATAAAAAGTCTGGAAAAGGACGAAGTCAATAAAGTTCAGTTTTAATTTGAAAAAATAAATAAATAATCAAAATATTCAATTAAAATCGCTACTGAATATAATTTATTAGAACATATGTGATTTGCACTTGTATGAAACTCAAACACGTATTCCGAATATACAAAATAGAAACATGTGGATAAATATTATAAATATGAATACCTATAACTGTTACTTTATTACAAAAAATAAAGCGACCAACTTCATTATGTTAAAATTTTGTGTTACAGTGATGCGCGCGCATCTTAAAATTTCACTCTCATCATTTTTTCATAACGCGCCTAAAGAAGTATAACTTCAAAAATCTGTTTAATTCCCATCCTGTAAAGTTCTAATGATAGGACATGTGTTGCTTTGTAGTCACACGATTCAATTGCAAAAAAAATATTTATAAAATTTATGAATACCGCTGCTTATGCTGTATATAGTTGTTAAAATGCTAACCTAATTGGCCTTTGCAGATAGGCCTCACGCTCCTGCGACTCGGTATGTGGACCAAAGAGCTCACGGGGCGAGTGTGCTCGCACTTCTCATAGTCTATGCCCATTTCTTTGCTACGCACCAGAGACAAAATCTCCGTCTCCCGCCAATACTCGCTGTTGTCTTTCTCCTTGTCTATGAACGCAATGAACGGGAGGTACTGCAAAATTCAGAAACTAACTTAAGTCTGAACAAAATAAACAACATATACATTTTATTAAATAAAATTGAATAGGCCAGAGAATATATTATTTTAAATAAAACTTCAAACTTGTATTAATCCGAACGATCAATAGGGTATTTTACCTTAACTTAATACTGTTTAGAATACTCACAATCTAAAGAAAAGTTTTAATAGAAAGAAATCCACGCGGACCAGGCAGCAGACGGGGCTCGAACCCGCACCCTTCGCAATCCGGGCGAATGCACTGACCAATTATGCTATCGAAATTTCTCCTATCCTTAAGCTGCAAGGCAGCGCCATCTCTTCGCATTGTAGGTAACCCACAATGTCAAATGAATACTTTTTCAAGTATTAAACATTTTGAAAGAAGAAATAGCATTTATAGTTATTTTTTTATTTTATTTTTTAAGCATTTAACTGCTAAATGATGAATGACGCTATAATTCAAATACTATTTCGAATTAAAATACAATTATCTTACCAGCTTATAGAGAAAAAAAGGTAGTTTTCAAATCGCAAAATAAATGGTTTTGCTGACTTAATACCCTATTGTTTGTGACGTGCGACATGTATGTACATACATATTTCATTTACTTGCTATAAGAGAAAGAGAAAGAAAATGTGCGCGTGCATTGCTTTCTCTTGCTTATATCCCCCACTCAACTCCCGTTCGCCTCGCCTGATCACACATTTCGTAACGCGTCCGCCAGCTTCTCCCCAAGACAAGCGTGCGTAAAGAAATCTCACTTCAAAAACGGACATGCCAAACGGATATTTCTGTGCTATAGTATAGACCCTGGGTTCCGAGCCTGGGGGTAATTACCCCTCCGGGGGTAAATCAGCTATACTTCGGGGGTAACAAAGAACCTAATTATTTGGTCAAATCTAAAAAATAAGAAAATACTATATAATAATACTACTAAATGCGCTCCGCTCCTTCTTGCTAGCGAGCCCGCGGGGTGCTGAGTGTGGGAAGCGGGGCGAGATTATCTCCTGATGATGACATTATTGGAGACCAAGATGTAGCGGCCAATTTGGTATTTCTTGGACTGATAATATTTAAAGTCGGGCTAAAATCTATTTTCCTAATAAGTTACAGGGGTAGCAGAATCGGAAAGGTTAGGAAACACTGGTATAGACGCTTGCGATACCAACATTATCGAGTGATAACCCCGTGGAGCCCTCGGCTCTTAAGCCAGAAACATATTAACGTGTCGTATAGTGTCGTGGCGCGCCAGAAGCACATCGGTTTCATACATTTACTATTAGAGACATATTTACGTATCGTGTCGTGTCGCCGCTTTAACCTCTCTATCTCTCTCTAACCCATAATAAATGTATGAAACCGATGCGCCACGACACGTTAATATGTTTCTGGCTTTATGGTGTTGCGTTCCCATCGGTGAGAATCTTTGTCACCGACGGGAATGCAACATAGGGCTGCCATCTCTAAAATGTGGCAACCAGGATAAGACGCGTGATAACCCCGGATTTTGTTACCCAGAACCCGGACAGACCAAAAAAAAACAGTTAAAAATGTCAAAAATCAACTTTTTTATGTTGATTTAGGCAAAAGAGAACCCATGGACACTTGCAGCACCAAGGGCAACTCAGGCGTTGCCGTAAATTTTTTAACCCGAACTACAAATAAAACCCCGCCCGGACGCTCCCCGGACGCCCCGTAAACTAGGACAAATCCGGGGAAACCCGGACGGATGGCAGCCCTAACGCAACACAGCTAAAAGGTAGTGTTATTTTACTGTGAGCTTCTGTAAGGTGGAGATTACTTCCCTAAAGGACGGGCGCTCCAATTCGAGCAGAATATCCGCTATGCCCTATCACCTTTCCTATTAGAACCCTCCCTCCCAAAACACCCCTGCAGTATACGAGGAGGATACCTTTTTAAAGCTGTGCCCCGCGGTGTGACCAGCGATTTATTAGGAATATTTGCCCGCAGTAAAACGTAGCCTATTATAATTCTTTATTGAAAACACCACAGTACAGAACATAAATGGGGTAAATACATTATGTTTAAACAGTGATTCAAAGCGATTTCTTCCAGACAACCTTTGGATGGAGAGGATTGAACGAAACTGGAGTCGGTGGAATTATAAAAGAAACAAAGGATATAAAAATGTATATAACTATATGTATTAAATATATATATACATACCATACATACATATTATATACACATGATATTACTATAAGATATATACATATAATATAAATATATGACATATACATACATAGACTACACATATATAAGTTTAATCCAGTCAGAAAAAAAGAAATTGCAGTTACATCGACAATTAATGGTTGAAAACAAGATTTTTGAAAGTATGAATAGATTGTGTTCGTCTTATGGATACTGGAAGAGAATTCCACAGGAGAACAGCTTGGACGGCAAAAGAACGACCATAGAAGGTTGTGTCATGAGTGGGAATTTTTAGTGTTAAATTCTCTGATGGCCTAAGAGATAACGCCTTTGAGGTATGAAGGTAATGTTAATCCAGGGTGTCAGCTAACTCCATACCAAATTTTATTAAAATCGCTCCAGCCGTTTAACCGCGAAGAAGTTACAAACATACATGTACACACACTCATAAACTTTCGCCTTTGTAATATTAGTTTGACAACAAAACCGGGTCTAAAACCGTTTGTTGCCTGCCTCTTTATAGAAAACAAGGAGGTTCACACGATTAACCTCACCTTTAGTTCCAATTTATCAGTATCATTTAAGTCTAACGTCGTATTGTCTGCTGAAACCTGATCACTATTAATACTAGCTCTGTTTACTATAAGCACTATTGCGAGCAGGAGAAGAGAGATCTTTAAAGCCATGATTTTTAGTAATTAGATTTGTTTCTACTTGGTTCCGTAAAGTGCTAGGAAAGTTCTTTGACAACCTCTGTCAAAGTTGTTATTTTTTTCTAATACGCAGTTGAAAGAGTTCTGAGTCTTAAAAGATTTATATTTATAACTAGCTGACCCAGCGAACTTCGCCATAAAAATAGGGGCAGGTGGTAGAAGAGAAATTTTAGGGTTGTATGTATTTTTTAATACTACATTATAAAAAAATAAATATTGTCCAAAAAATTTTTTTTGGGATGTGTAACGCAGTGTTCTATCAATTTCCTGGGATAACATTTCTCCTAACCCATATGAGAACACTACGTTACAATACCCAATAGTTAGTATTTTGGCGCGAACGCGCATTGTAGGTTTCAGAACACTACGTTACAGGTGGACAACCATTATCCCTTAAGGATGAAAAATAGATAGTAGCCGATTCTCAGACCCACGGAATATGCATATAAAATTTCATAAAAATCTGTCAGGCCGTTTCGGAGGAGTATGGTAACTAACATTGTGACACGAGAATTTTATCTCTTATCTATTAGACAAGTCCGTCTGTCCGTCAGTGGTGCTGTTTCAGCGGCCAAACCGTAAGAGATAGATAAAGAGAATATTTAAGTTATAAGTTAAGAATAGTCTGATAAGACTACAAACCGGATTTGAGTAACGTAGCACTTCCGGTTTTCGGGAAATCACGAATTTCAAACGAAACCACACAAAATCTCCGAAGTTCTCAATTAATTAAATACTTTTTTTTTTAATCAGGTTTTGGTGAACATTTGGTTCACTGGTTTGCTAGTATATAAGATAATGTGCGAGTACGTAGTAAGTAAGTAGTAGAAGCAACTACTTCACTTGCATATAATTTTGAATATTAATCTCTTATTAATATTTATGCAGGGAAATGTGCTGGCAGTCCACCTGTAAACTTCATGTACTTATATGATGATGACCCGACGACTGTAACGTCGGGTTCGGCGTCGATGTGAGCAGGCTTGACTCGGTCGATGCTGACGGTGGCTTCTCTCCCGTTGACAAGAATGGTTATAACCTTGTCCTTCTTCTCCAAAACGCGATGTGGCCCAGAGTACGGTGGTTGCAGAGATTTTCGGCAAGTATCGTCGCGCAAGAACACGTGAGTTGCCGTGGCCATGTCTTTAAAGACGAAAGACGCAGGCTTGGTGTGACGTGATGCGGAAATTGGCCGAATGCTGTCCATCTCGAGTCTCAATTGGGACACAAAATCTGCAGACACTACAGCTCTCATGCGTTGCTAGCTCTGACGGAAAAGGTTTACCTGCCTATTGAAGACTGTCATAGCATAGCTAAGCGGGAAAACTGATGTTGGAAGTTCGTTCTAGATCTTTCTGGTCGCAAGAACAAAGGTTTTTTTTAATATAGATAGGTCCGACAAATGACTCCACGCCACCTGATGTGAAGCGACGGTGAAGTCCAGACGTGAAGATAGCTGGTACAGCAGTTCTACCTGCCACACCAGCCATTCCCACCTTGACGGCCTGCATGTTGCTTCTTCACGCCTCTGTTCTGTTACTGTCGGTGATTATGTTATTATTAGCAGGGCTCCACGGGGTGGAGGACTGGATCATAATAACTGCGCGCCTTTCAGATGCTTTTTCAATTAATAATTTCTTTACAGGAAGTTACGTATTTTATATTTTTATTTTAAGTATTTAACTGCTAGATTTAATATCAATCTAAAGAAGTTTTCGAAAGGTGAAAATTATTGTAAACACGTCCGTGGTCGAGTGGTTAATACCTATGCCGGGTTTCGTGGTGTCGCTGACTCGAGAGGTTTCGGGTCTGAATCCCGGTGGGGGCAGATGTTTGTGTGATGAATACGAGCATTTGTACTCCAGTCATGGATGTTTAATATGTATTTCTATATAAATATACTTATAAATATTCAATATATGTATTCTATCCGTTACTCTAGTATCCCATAACACAAGCCTTACAGTGCTTACTTTGGGGCTAAGCTATTTGGTGTGAGTGTTGGAAAGATTTATTATTGTGTATTTATTTCTAGTTTTCATTTTTTGGTACCCTTATTTTTTTTCACTTTGTTCCCCCTTATTGATAAACAAAGAATAAGCTTGGATTAGATACTCAATGTTTTGTCTCTATTATCGTATCGATGAGTGCAAACTTTGATGATGAAGTGGATGAAGAATCAAATGATGACGATGACAGCGATTGCCAATCCGATATTGGCTACACTACGGAAGAAGAGTCTGTACATAGACGCGATGATGATAATCATAATGTCGACGAGGATGATGATGAAGCGATTGATGATAACGATTATTAATAATACTTAATGTTTAAAATAATTATGCTGCTAATAATATTGTACATTCATTTTTCGTAAAAATAAAACAAATTATAAAATTAGACCTTCTTTTTTTCTTTATTTAAACAATTTTCATGAAGCTACATGCATGCCATTTCAGATTTCAGCTTACTATAGTATCTACTAACAAAATACAAAGTGGCATGTTGGAAGAAGTCACGGCATATTTCAGTTTTTTTTTTTCAATTGAGAAATTGATGTTTATTCCTTTTTTTCACAATTTTTGTATGTTGGGCTGCAGCTACATGCATGCCATTTACGTTCATGACTTAAAGTAATGTAAATTCACGAAATATAAAACGGCATGCAAAACAAGTCACCTAAAGGACATTGCTCGTTCCCCATACATTGAATGCCCTTGAACGCCCAGCAATGAGAAAATGCTAGTTGTGTTCGGAATCATTCATAAACACTAATTAGGCATTTGTTGAGATACGGACAACTTGAGGAACCGTGGCCTACTACAGAATGTATTAGATTTTGAGGTTATAATTATTATACTTAATCGTAAAACTATATATTCTGAATAGATTTAGTGTTTACCTCTATGTAAGCACTTAAATAATATGCATTAAATGAACATAAAATGCAATGAATATTAAAAATAATAAATGCTAATATTCATATTGATTTATGAGTGTTGGCAGTTGGCACCTATGATACCTATACCTACCTGTAGTAATAATAGATTTCTTTTCAAATGAAATGTTCAAAGTTTTTCCATTTACCTACCTGTTTCTATATTTTACTATCGGTAATTAGGCCTGTACCTAGATATTACATGGGATGGGAATATAAACTATATTTACATAATTTCAGAAATAATCTTTTTATAAATATAATATAAATACTAGTAATAAGTATTTATAACTAAGGTACCTAGTTCTATTTTGATGTTGATAAATACCTATGGTCGACTTTATTGCATTTAATAAGGTAAACAATCTTGGCACAACTTTTTAACAGAATCACCCTTTTAATAATAAAATATTAACGAAGCCAATAAACTATTAAAATAAATCGTTATTATAGACTGAAACCTATTGAATCCAGTTATCAGTTGATTTTTAATGCTGTATTTTCAATAAACAGGAGTGCCAAGATTGTTTACCAAATAGGACAAGTTGGATGAACAGACTGTAGTATCTAGTAACAGAACTTTTATTTTTTATTTTTTTAAACAGATTGTCCGCTTACCATTATTAATTGCTTATAAGTTAAAAAAATAATAGAAAAATAATAGTGAAGGACATTCTTTTGGGCATGCTAGGGCCGATTTCGTCGATGTCCTTTGCACAGTGTTTTTTGCAACTTTCATCATGCATGCCTCTATTTTGCAACATCCTCGTGTGCATGCCAATTTTCCTACTGTTAATTAATGATACAAATTAAGTATCCTTTCAATGGCATGCAGTTTGGAATCACGGAAAATCTATGTTCAAATTTTACAGAGTTATCCGGAAATTTACCACCGTTGCTCATACGAGGGGTGCATGCCAATTTTTCCAGAGTGTGTTTATTACAAAACCTTCCATTCTTTATATCGGCATGCAATTTCAAAACACGGAATTGTCCTTTAATTTTGTCAGGTTTTCAGAATCCTATGATCATCTTGGGCCGCTGCGGAGTGCATGCCATCAATTATAACAGCTTTAATTTGTTTAAACTTCCGTATATTACAATGGCATGCAGTATACTACCACGGACAAACACGAAAATCCGCTACACAAAGAAAAGCGCTTTTCCTTATGAAGAGGATGCGCGGGGGAGCTAAAACGTCGACTATCATTGATATTTTAGGGTTAGTTAATATCAAGCCTTAAAAAGGCATGCACGACAAAATCGTGGAACGTCACCTGTCACCAGCTCCCGGTCTAGTACTAGTATATGCTTATTCCTTGTTTACTCCGTATAAATATACGGGGTAAAGTTTAATATTACGGTTTAAATCAAAAAGGAAAACCGTGAAATGAGAAATAGATTACATTGAAAACGTGCCGTGCTCCGTTCCAATGTCATTTCAATTTGGCTGCGTTGCCTTCCGCGTTTCGCTCTGCGCATGCGCAATGCATTATCACTAAACAGCTGATCGCTGTTTCGTCAATAGTCTGTAACTTTTCACTGAAAAAAAAAACAATAATAACCAACAGTTTTCCAATTACGTAACGGACCGCTTTTGAGAAAACTTTCTTTTTGTAATTCAATATGGTCTGGTGGACATTAAAGTTCACGGAGTGTATTTCTGTAACCTTCACCTAGCCGCTGAAAGCGATTATTTCTGTGCGTCCTTGTGACGTCATCGTCACGCCTGTAATAGCGGTGTTGCCAGTTCTGTCATTATGCCCGAGTATTCGGAAAATTCATTCTGTTAATAGGGATTGAGAGGGACCAATTTACTGTGATCAGACAAGGAATTACAAAACAACTTATTTAAGTTTTCGATACCTATTGAGTGCCTAACTTGCCTTAAAATATGGACGATTCAAAAGAGTTGTCTTTTGCAAGCAATTTGAATAAAGATATTTTGACTTGATTTGACTTGACTTACCTTAAATTATGTACTAAGTAGATTACTAAATCGGTAGTCAGTACAATAGCATTAGCAAAACAGAACTTTTATTAATGTAAGACGAAATAAATATCAAATCCTCAATAGAGGTAGAGCACAGAGGATTTCCCGCTCGAATGAGAGCGCCCCGTCTGTGGAAGTAACCTCCACATTACAAAAGATCACAGTAAAATAACATTACCTTAGAGCGTGTCCATTAATCACGTGAGATTTGAAATGGGGGGGGGGGGGGGGGTCCATAAAAAATGGGTGTATTTTCGTGACCCGAAGATACTGTACATTAAATAATGTTCATGTATTAGTACAAAAAAGTTTTTGGTTTCTTTCATTATATTTATGTCAGTCAAAAACACCTGGAACCTTTCTGTCAACCTGTAAACGTTGATAATGTAGTCTTTTAATTACCATAATAAAGTTAGATGATAACTTTTTTTTATAAATTAAAAACAAATATAAGTGTTTCTTAGGTTTTCACGCACATTTGTCAATAAATAAATGTTTTATTAACAAATATAAGATTCTTTGTAGGTACTAAAACTAAAATACACGTGATATGGGGGGGGGGGGGGTTAGTCTTTAACCTCACCATATATCACCAATGGGGTTTAAAAATGGCGAGTGACGTGATTAATGGACGGCCCCTTATGGTAGTGTTGTGTTTCTGGCAGTGAGTAAGGTTCCGAGGCATCAGGCGGTCCATACGCTTTTTTGCTACCCCTTTACATAAAAAGCCCTTGTCAAAACCTTGTCTAAAACCGCTTTATAATTGTGACACATAATTCATGGCGTTATTGTAGGTTTAAAATTTTGCGAACCACAGCAGCTATAGTAAAGATCGAGGCTTTACTTTCGTTACGTGTTGCGTTACACTTATGGCGAAACTAGCTGGGCCCCGCGGTGTTACGGGCGGCTTATTAGAGATATTTTTTTCCGCAGTAAAACGTAGACTATGTATTAATCCAGGGTTTCAGCTAACTCCATACTAAATTTTGTTAAAATCGCTCTAGCCATTTAGACGTGAAGAAGTAACAATCATTACACACACACACTCACAAACTTTCCGCTTTATCCGGGTATTTGACAAGTTTTAGAAAACGATCTCACGTTATTGACTAATGTTTATGGAGTCCGTAAAAAGTGGATATTCATCATTCTGTTGTGTATTTCAGTAAAAATAACCAAATCAAAAACTCCATTTTCAAGTTGGCGCGAAAACGTTTCTCTGGACAATATGGCGTCTTACTAGTGTGTGACGTCACACGACTGTTATTAAAACGTCAAATGATACAATGTAATGTCACGCACTTTAACCGGAAGTTTACTTGGGTGTGACGTCATTTTAGGCTCCGCCAATCCGTAGCGTTTTGGGTCACGTGACAATAGAAAATAAAACTACTATCTTTTTCGTGGGTTTTTAGTAAAATTATGCATGTTTTTTTATTGTAAAAATAATTAAAACCCCTGCCAATATTCATTCTAAACACAAATGCTAACAATTGGCACTTTATTTTTAATACTGTCAAATACCCTATTAGGGTGATAACATTTAGTCGTCCCGTGACCGCGACCTATATTCAGGTGCACGAAAGACATTACTCGTATTCGGACACGCGAAGCAATACTTACACTGGAATAAGGGCTGGAAGACGTTGTCGGGCAAATAAAATTAAACCTACCCGAATTCGGGCGTACTCAACCCCGCTTATTTACACTTAGTCATATATCCGAATTCCATTAGCACTCGTATTCGGGCTAACGATAAACGATAAAAAAAAATGGTTGCCTGTAAAGTCGGTTTTACGGGCGAAGATTTTACGTGACAACGTCTTTTTCTCGGTAGAATATTTATTGATATGAATATAATTAAATTGCACAATAGGAACAAGGAATTGAATGAAAATAAGAATTGCACAAATTTTAACTATAGAAATATATTTTGTTTACTAAAACATTGTACATGTAAACTTAAACTTAACACGAGAGACTCATCGTAACGTTACCGAGCGTTACACTTTTTTACCCAGCCGCAACCTAATTTAAGACGTTGTCACGTCAAAAGTAATCGCGCCATAATGTTAAAAGTAGACAAGAAACTTTTCTCAGTAACAGTCTTAAATTTTGCTACGTAGACAGGACAAAATTTATTACTTCACATGGCAACTCTGGACGCAGCGCTCAGTCGATAATGCGCGCGGGGACAGCGCGCTGTCCGGTGTCAGCTGTGAAAATTGTTTTTAATCGTAACTAGGAGTTAAGTGTTTCGATCATAATGCCTAACATTATAAACGAGGTTAAACTGGACTTTAAAGACGTGCTCCTTAGGCCTAAACGAAGTACTCTTAGGAGCCGGAACGATGTGAGTATTTCCATTTTTTCTTTTTTATGTTTTTGAAAACACAAATACTTACTGAAATATCAAGGTTCAACGGAAAAGCCCAGTAAGATGAGACAATTTTCATGTTGACGATTCTCTGCGACATTATATAATAGTCTTTTAACGCGTAGTCGTGATAGCGGATTTATGCGTATAAAAATATTTATGTCAATGTAAGTTTTTTACGTAGTAAGCGCAAAACTTATTGTTTGCAAAAGTTAATAAAAGTATGTATTCAAAAACAATCTCAAATCTAAAGTTATACCTAGTCCTTTTAACACTATCAAAGCTCTATTTAATCTTTGTTTCTTTGATAATGAAGTAACTTCGAAATTTAATATTACGGAAGTCAGCATTTTAGCTAAGATTTCAGCATTTAAAATATGACTATTGTTTGTTGCGGATTTTCTACTGGATTTGGAGCGCTCTTGGCTAAACTGTACTTCCAGGGCCCAAGTGGTGCCGGGAAGCTGCTGGGTGCGGAGCCGTGGTAGAGTCCCTAAACGGGGACCCCGCGGCTTCGCATTAAGCAGTGTAGAAGGTATTCGCAGGACTTTTTTTAGCGGATATTATGCCGTAAAGCGCCCGTAAGAGTCGCGAGGTCCTAGGCAACCACTAGGGGGTCCGTAAGACATGCGGGAGCCAGGCGTGAGATCAGTTCGGCGGTGTGCCTCTTAACTTCACCACTTGGGCCCTTTTTTTACCTGCGTTAAAGCGTTAAAAAAAAGGGCCCAAGTGGTGATACTTCACACTAGGTTATGTTAGGTTAGTGTTGTGTGCCGCGGAAGCGGCTGGCGAAGCGCCAGAAAAAATTTTTTTTAAGAGACCTTTATTACAAAAAAAAAACAAGTATCACCTCTTGGACCCTGGAAGTACAGTTTTACCGCGCTCTTCTAAGGAAGTAACCTTCACCTTACAGAAGACCATAGTGAAATAATACTATACAGCAGTGCTGTGTTGAAGTTGGTGAGTTAGGTTTCTAGGTTTACTCCACACTCCACGGGGTAGGGGAAGGGCAACGCGCGAGTGATAAATACCCTGTGCGTTATCACAATGAGGGCTACCGTTTCCTTCTCACCAGATGGCGCCACTGTTGAGTGAGGTCCTAAATTGTAACTTTTAAAGTTTATTAATACGCACATGAAATCAAAGGTTACATTTAGATCGTATTTTAACACAAAAGAACCATATCCTAAACATAATAGGCCATGCCACAGTGACGCCCAGTTCCGTTTTATTCGGAAAAAAATGGGAACATAATCATTTTTCTAAGCTCAAATTTTTAATAACTGACATTCATTGCCACGTAACTCATATTTGCCATAATTAAGCCGAATTGTTACCAATTATTCACAACATTATTTTAATAAGAAATAAACCCGCGTAGACAACCAACAAGCAATAACATTTGACATTTCAGAGACCTCACGCTACACTAGCGCCTCTAGCGGCGGATTCATGCGCGATAGCCCTCATTGTCTTTAAATTATGGTGGCCGGTAATCATGGCGGGTCCTCAATCACTTGCCATCTATCATTGGGAACCATGAGTGCTATGAAATAGTGTTTGAATTCATCGTAAGCACTATTAGCAATATATAGATGAATCACTAATAACTGGCCAATACAGGACAAAATAAGAAACCAACGCCTGTCATATGACGACGTCCGTGGCCGATTGGTTTATACGCCGGGTTTCGTGGTGTCGCCGACTCGAGAGGTCCCGGGTTCAAATCCCGGTGAAGGCAGATGTTTGTGTGATGAATACGAGCATTTGAACTCCCCTCATGGATGTTTAATATGTATTTCTATATAAATATATATGTATTCTATCTGTTACACTAGTATCCCATAACACAAGCCTTACAGTGGTTACTTTGGGGCTAGGCTAATTGGTGTGAGTGTTGGAAATACTTATTTATTTATTTATCTTATATGTTTGCAGCCATTTTAACATAAAAGCATCTTTCTAGACATTGTTTATAGAAAAATATCCTCTAAGCCGACTGCAACGCCATCTATGGTAAATTCAGGAATGCCACGGTAATATTATGATATTATTACCGTGGTAATGCTTTCTCTTTTTTTATTTACTACGCAACCTTTTTTTGTTTAACGTTTTGAATTACAATGTTTCATATTTTTAATAATAATTACATATTGATATAACTTTATCTGTACCTTTGTAAATAACAGTTTGAACCAGGGCTTGAAACCGGTTTCGAAAATACTGGTAAATAAAGGTTAATACCGGTTTTTAGTAAAGGTTTCGTTCGGAGCCCGTCCGAAATGAAAGCGGTACCTAAAACCTTAATAAACCGGTTTAATCCAGAGCGACACGTGCACGCGTCGCCATCGCTTGAAGTTGGTTTTGTTTGAACTAATTAAGTCCTAACTTGTTAATGCAGAGAGATTGGTGCATTTATTGACACTAGCGTCTAGTGAGTCAAGTTATTCATTTATTATCGATGCCGTCAGACAGAGCGAAATGAAACCCTTTAAAAACCGCTAAATTGATTCAAAACCTATTTGATTCCACTCTTTAGGAAAACCGGTTTTTTAAGGTTAAAGTAGAGCCAAACCTAAATAAAACACTCCTAATGTACTTGACACTGATTTACTTTGGAAAATTAACCGGTAAGCAAGCCTTGGTTTGAAAGGTATAGATGCACTGATTAATTTGCGTCTTAAGTCTGAAATTAAGATGACGCTGTAAAGCAGTGGCGGCGCTAGACCACATGTGGACGTCGGCGACATCAAGTTCGCGAGTTTTATTGTTGATAATCAAATGATGACAAAAAATAATTACAAACAAAGAAATTTAAAAACAAAAATAGTGTTGCCAGACAGACGATTCTGAATACCCGTAAAGTACTACTCGCTTTAATCACGCACGTGTTCGAAAATAATAAAAGTCATTATCATCTGCTTAGCTTTTTCCCCGAATTGTTCGGGGTCGGCTTAGGTAGCCGACCCCGAACAATTCGGTAGCCAGGCCAGGAGAAACGAAAATAAATAGGTAACTTGTAAAAGTTTTTTGCGAGGCCCCCTCAGGCGCGAGGCCGTCGGCGGTGGCCGACGTCGCCGACGCCTAGCGCCGCCACTGCTGTAAAGGGTGCGAAAAGTCAATAAATAAATAAATTGTTGTGTACTTGAACATCACTATATAAAAAAATATATAAAATGTCAAGGGGACGTCAGAAAAACGTGATTAAGGAAAAAACTGTATTGTAGTAGAACGATTAGAATAAATGTGATTTGCCTTTATAATTAAAGTAATTATTACTTAAATACACAAAATAAATCAGTGCATCTGTACCTTTTTATTTAATGAGTGGTTTGCGTGAAAACCTAAGAAACAAATATGTACCTTTGTATTTAAAAAAAAATGGGTGCGTGTACTTATGTAGGCGCGTGAGAAGTTATCCTTCTTTGGCATCGTTTAAAATTAGTTTTTAATTGCATGCAAATAATTAATTACAATAAATTAATAAAAAGTCTGGAAAAGGACACAGTCAATAGAGTTCAGTTTTAATTTGAAAAAATAAATAAATAATCAAAATATTCAATTAAAATCGCTACTGAATATAATTTATTAGAACATATGTGATTTGCACTTGTATGAAACTCAAACACGTATTCCGAATATACAAACTAGAAACATGTGAATAAATATTATAAATATGAATACCTATAACTGTTACTTTATTACAAAAAATAAAGATGTGGTTTTTGGTTCTACTACACCAATGGTCAAGAGATGGCGCTGTAGTCTCCTGAATCGCGCTTTGGTTCCGTTTTTCCAGATTAATAAATACTTTTGATAGGCCTTCACAATGCAGTCGTTAGCACCCACTAAATAGAGATTCTATTTCTATTTTGTTGGTAGATTTTCTTAATGTGCGGTAAACACAAAAGTAACAGCATGAAGTTGGTCGCTTTAGCGACTTCAAAAAGACTACCATTTTCATCCTTTTTAATTTTTTGAGTGTGTATGCTGTTGGTCGCAGATGACCTTTACAGCGTCACCGGGTTTGGGGACGGCGAGATCCTAAGGGGACCTCAAGCGGATAATTGGCGAGTGCCTCTAGAGGTATTCCAGGCGGATGGCGTCTCTCCACGGGGGGAGTCTCCTCTCCATCTGGAGCCTCTAGACCACTCGAACCTGAAGGGGTCGGTTCAACTAGAGGGCGTCTCTGAGACTCGGACTTCGGCTCAGTTATATTTTAAAAAAGATTCTAGTACTTCGTAAAAGATTCTTACGGTAAAAATGTCTATAGCTATATTTAAAAAAAATCGTGATTGATATCCATATCCCCTCACAAAATTAAAGTTCTGTAGTGCTAACAGTCTCCAAACAAAACCGGGAACGGACAGACTGACGGACATGACGGTACCACGGAACCCTAAAAAATAATAAAGTTGATTAGAAAATCAGAAAATTTGAGAAAACTATATTGATCTAGCTTGTTTTTTGACAATTCCACAGTTAAGCAACTTTTACAGTGGTCGGTCATTGGATGGGTGACCAAAAATCTTCTATCTCGAGTTCCTTCGTGCTTCGAAAGGCACGTGAAGCCGTTGGTCCTGGCTGCATCTGTAGTCGTTAGCACGCACAAATCCACCAAGAAGACATTCACAATGAACTATGACGAATAATTTTCATCTAAAGAAAATATTACTAGAAAATATTCCACGCGGACCTGGCAGCAGACGGGACCCGAACCCGCACCCTTCGCTATCCGGGCAAACGCACTGACCATTATGCTACCGCGGCCCTGATGGTCGTGTCAAATTCTTTCTAGCCTTTCTTAAGCTGCAAGGCAGCGCCCAATGAAAATGAATAGTTATTTATTATACAAGAGTGGAAAGTTCCTTTTTAACCGCGTGCTCGATTTGGATGACCGAGCAAGCGAAGGATTCTAAAGTTGAATCACGAGCGCAGCGAGTGATTCTAAATTAGAATCCTGAGCGTCAGCGAGG